GATACATACCTGTGCCATGGTCTGCAGGAGTTTTCAGAGTTTCTGGATGATATTTTTCTTTCCATCAAATGCACCTGCACATTCGATCCCCATAGACTCATACAGTGCCATACCTGGGTATGAGGATCAAATGCAGTCACAGACAGGGGACAGTAGACTATGGTTGCAGGCCCTGTCAGATTGCATCTGGAGGAAGGGGGTTACCTTAGATCAGGAAGTGGGGGGGACTAGACCCAAAGGATAACTGCTTTTTAAAAAGTACATTTATCCTTTTTATTATAAAAAAAGAATTGTCAGTAAATTGCATAGTTAGCTACAGAGGCATACTGCAGATACTTCTTTATTTGAGGCACAATTAGTCTGACTGAAACCCCAGACTATGTGTACATTTTAGCGTGATCTATTGAGTTCTGTAAACGGGCTTCTTTCATTACAGAAGCAAGCTGAGAGTCTGAAAAACTTAAAAATGAGCCCAAAGCTCCAGCTGCTAGCTCAAAATCAGAACAGTAAATATTAATAATGCAGTATTTCATATTTATCTGACTGAAAAGGAAAAATAATTACATTTCGTTTTGCAATCCTAACCTTAATAAAGACAAAAATTATCCACAAAATCACTAAATTTCATGTGCCTGCGATTTTAACTTGTCAATGTCTAATTAGTTAATAATGGTAGAAGGTAACTGTCCACTGACTAAACCGGCACGTTCATTATAAATGTAGGTCATTGCAACACTTTTTTTTCACTTGATACCTTGCCCATATACATGCCCCCATACAAGTATGTGCATGCTAAAATATTTTCATAACCCTGTAATAATATGCATAAAGTAACGTTTCCGTAAAAGATTAGTCCGATGAAATTTCTGGTTTAAGTGTTAAAGATACGTTCTTAAACTCAAACAATTCTTAGCATGTCTTTTGGCATTTGTAGTATCTTGTTAATTCATTTTCTTAATAAGCTTACTGACGGAGTTACATTGTGCATCACTGTTTGACCCATTCAGCAGACAAAATATCTGAAGGTTATGCATCTACCATGATCCCTTTGCCTCCGTTTTTCTCCATCAGACACAATATTTGCCTCTGATATTGGCTACATGTTTGATGGTGATCTGTGATATTCTATATTCCATTCCATCTGTGTATTTTTAAGATCGAGGGCTCATATGGATACGTCTGTAGCGGTCAATTACACTTCAGTGATTTTTTTTAGTTTTGATTCTCTATAAGTTCTGATTTATAAATGTAGATACATTATACCCTGTTGGTTAGAAAGCATTATGGCTTTCTGCAGGCAAAACAGAAATGTCAGTTATAACTATACAGCATAAAATGTATTAACATTTGTCTTAAAATTTGTACATTTGGGGACTTGTATTAGGAAATAATGCAATTGCTTGCATACAATGTGGTTCCATACTGCAGTGAACTCTCTATCATTATGAGACCTTGATAACAGTACTCTGTCCCTGAAACATCAGTACATACGGTTGCCATGTCACCGGATTAAATCACCCAGTCTCAGAGTGCTGGCCTTTCCTGTGTCACCGTTGCCCCCTCCTCCAGTTGTAAGCCATAGAGTTGGAGGTGGGTATGTATGCATGCTATGTAGTACTGTATAGTTGTGCTATAGATTGTTCTGAGAATTGAATATCATTGGCTAAGTTTGGCTAGCCTGAAAAATTGGCTCACAATACAAGCTTATAACTTTAGGAAGCAGAAGTTACATACTAGTTTGACACATTAATATGCTAATTTGACCTTTGAATGGTATTTTATCCCAGTGAAATGCTGATCTTCCTCTTTCTTCTGCTTTTTACTACAGCCATTCCTTCCTCTGTCTGACAGTGGATTTATTTACGACTCAGATGAAAGTATTCCGAGTGATGACGATGAGGATGATGATGCATTTCTGTCTGATACACAAATACAAGAACACACCAATTCCAGTTCTTACAGGTAAAAGAGGTGATGTATTCACTACGATGTACATATGCAATTGTGCTGTAAGTGATTGTACAGCGGCCAGCTGTTTACAAATCTTATTGTGCCACTTGTGTCTGAAGTAGCATGAGTAGAAACAGGGACACCGGCACTCCAAATGCATCTATTTATTGACGTAGATGCAGCATACCACACTGGTGATACTGAAGTAGCAGGAGAAGGCAGTAAAGTCAATAGATGGTGTCAGAACTGTAGGGCTGTTTGAACGTTTTGAAGTAGATATTAGGATGGGCGAATACAAAGATGGATGCAGTGAAATATAATTGCTTGGCATGGGCCAGGGTGTCTTTTTGGGAAGAAAGCATGAATTTCAAGTATATGGAGTAGGCATGCAAATTTTCCCCAAAAGAGAATGGTAATGCTGACCCATGCCGAAAAAATACATTTGTGTTTATAAAAATGTGTTTCCAGTAGCTGAAAGGTAACCTGTGCTGAGAGAAATATGGAGAATATCATTGCCAACCTCTTGCTGAAAATACTGGTTTCCTGTTTGTCTTCCGGCTTGCTGGAACGCACCACAATCGCTTACAAACGTTCCCCCTGCGTTCCGGGGCAGGAGGGGCATGGCTGTGCATTGAAGTCAATGGCACCGCAGCCACGCCCTCCCCACCCCTGCCCGCAGTGCGATCAGACACGTGGCAAACGCGAAAAATGCTGCATGCTCTATTTTTTAGTTTGCAGTGGAAAGGAACGCAGGCACTGTTTTGCCATGTGTCCGATCGCACTGCTGGCGGGAAGCCGTGGCTGCGGTGCCATTGACTTCAATGCACTGTCAGAACGCAGGGGGAAGTTTTGTGAGCGAATGCGTTGTGTTCCAGCGGCTAGCGCTCTGGAACGCAACGCAATTGGTGTGAACAAGCCCTTCATTGCTTTTTAAAATTACTGACCCAGTTTTTCGGCGGTGGAATGTGTAACAGGTCACGTGGTCACACATTTTAAAGTAATCCCGCCCAGTTTTTTGGCGGTGGAATATGTGACAGGCAAAAGGTGAAGAATTCCAACGCTTTCTCAGCTGTTCCATCGTATGTGCAGGAGTGGGATCTCACATTCCACAAAGTCGGATAGAAGTGATATTTCAGGACCGGTCAGCTGTTCCAGGGCAGATTGGTTCTCCTGCAAATACAATCTGCGATGCCGATCCGCCCTGGAACAGCTGAGAAAGCATTGGAATTCTTCACCTTTTGCCGGTCACATATTCCACCGCCGAAAACTGGGTGGGATTACGTTACAATGTGTGACCGCTCACACATTCCAACCCAGTCACAATCTTTGATAGAACACCGGCTCACTTTTTTGTGGGGCAGGAGGGGGCGGTCCATTGAAGTGAATGGCACCGTAGCCACCCCCTCCGGCCGCACGGGATCGCAAGGCACAATATGCCCGCGGTCTGGTTCGCTCTGAACAAAATAGTGCTTGCAGAATTTTGTTTGGACCAGACCGCAGGCCTAATGTGCCTTGCAATCCCACGCGGCCGATCGCATTGCGGCCGCAGGGGGTGGCTTTCAGGTGCCATTCACTTCAATTGATCGCCACGCCCCCTCCTGCCCCACAAAAAAGTGAGCCGACCGTAATGCGAGGTAGTGCGTTCTGGCCAGAATAGGGCCGGAACGCACTGCATCTGGTGTGAATGAGGCCTTAAACACAAGCGTCCCGCTAAGGCATATGTGAAGGTGAGGGGGTGGTGCACTGCCACAAGGTAGGTTTTCTAACCTGTCCGATTGCGTTTTTCCCCAAATAGTCCTGTCAGCTGCCAGTGTTTGCAGGAGAACCCACAAACAAGATATCCTACTATCTTGGCTGTTTAACAGCTCATGTGCTGAAACATACTTCACAAGTGAGATCAGATTACACAGACTGCTAGAAGACTCAGAAGGTGACAATCCCTCCATTTGTCCTAGCAGATAGGGAACCGTCTGGTTTACTCGCTTGTACACCAATGATCGCAAGCATGCCCCTCTGAGGGGCGGGCTTCCGATCACCGCAATGCCGAACGGGCAGTGTGCGCTTGCGCACACCGGCCCGTGTGGCTTTTATCTTGCGAACATGCCACAAACCTGCCGAAAATCGCACAATGTTCGGCTGGTTTTCGAACATGTTCCTAAGATCGTAGAGGTTGCACGCAGTAGTAGAGGTCGCATGCCTTCCACACACCTTACGATAATCGTACGATCACGGGATTTACCACGATTATCGTAAGGTGTGTGGGCACCTTGAAGGTGCCCATACACCTTACAACCATTGCAATACTTTTTTCTTGCGATGGTTGTAAGCTAATTAAAAGCTCGTACGATCTGACCATCTTGGACAGGCAGATCCTACTTGCGATCACCGAAATGCTGAACGAGCAGTGTGCACGTGCGCACACCGGCCCATTCCGCAGTTGTCGAACGAGCAGGCTACAAACACGCCGACAATCGTACAATTCTCGGCGGGTTTTCTAGCATGCTGGGTCGACAAAAGACGTGCGAGCGTACAGTAAAAACGGGTGCACGCCTTCCATACACCTTGCGATTATCGTACGATCACGGGATTTTTCGCGATTATCGTACGATAATCGCAAGGTGTATGGGCACCTTAACAAGTACTGGATCCTACTCCTAACATTAATTGGTTGACATACTGGTTTGCATAAAGCTGGCCATACACCTTATAACCATCGCACGACTTTTGTTGTGCGATGGTTGTAAGGTAATTAAAATCTTGTACGATCTGCCCATCTAGGACAGGCAGATAGTACTTGCGATCATCTCGCTGAGGTCTTCCGTTGATTCCAATGCTGAGCATGCAGTGTGCGCTTGCGCACACCTGCCCGTTCGGCATTTGCCGAGCACGCCACTAACCCGCCGAAAATCGTACGATTTTCGGCAGGATTTCAAGCGTGCTCGGAAGACAAAAGACGTGTGACCATATAGTAGAAACGTTTGCACGCCTTCCATACACCTGCCGATTATCGTACAATCACGGGATCGCCCGCGATTATCATACGATAATCGGCAGGTGTATGGGCACCTTAAGAGGAGTAGGTATACGGTTAATAACACAGCTCTATAGTGCAAGTAGAGGACCGTCTGTCACTATTTAGGACCCATTCACACCATGTCCGGATCAGATCCAGTACGTTACGTTTTTCTCCCCCACCAAAAATGCTCCCCTATGTATTTGTATGGGATTTCTGGGCTCTGTTCACGCCAGTGCAGTCCGTTCTGGTGGAGGGGGGAAAAATACTGCATGTCATATTTTCTCTGCACTGCAACATGCAAAAACGCAGTAGAACACACTGGAACACAACAGCAAGGATAAATAACACTTATCACCTTTGAATACACATATGAATGAATGAAAAAAACTTTTCTGAATGTGGCCACCAGTCCTCGTTTAACCGCCTCCTGGCCGGCCGTTGTAAAAATACGGCCGGCCGGGGAGCTTCCTAGATCTGAGCGGGCGTATTTAAACGTCCCGTAAGCCACTCCCACGCGCGTGAGTGGAAACCTGCCCAAAATTAAAAGCGGTGCGAGCCCGGGACCAGCATGGTGGCTCTGTGAAAGGGGATCAGAGGGATATCCATACACCATCTCCCTCTTGTCCCCTCTCCAGTGTGTCAGAATGCGGACGTGATGTATATTACATCACTTCCGCATTCTTGTGTCACTCTTCAGCTTCAGATGCTTTGCTAGAGCCCTATATGATGACAATAAAGTTAAGTGGGGAAAAAAAGTATAACTTTTTTTATTTTATTTTTCAAGTCCCCACCCATACATACACGCATGTGTCAGGTGCGTATATGTGCGAAAACAACGAATGCACCCATTACGCCACACATGTTGCATATCCCCGCGAACGTCGCAGTGAGAGCAATCATTCTAGGGCCATTAATCACTGATAACACTAAAGTGATGAGCGGTAAAATGAAGCTTTTAAAGCGTCGCCTATGGTCAATTTTTGGTATGGTAGCTTTTTGCAATTTCGCGGGTGCGCACAATTTTAAAGCTTGACATGTTTGGTGTCTATTTACCCGACGTGACCCCGCCTTTTATATTTTACCAAAAAAATGGGTAATAATAATTGTATTACATAATGTAAAAAAAAAAATTCCAAAATTTTCAGTAATAAGTACTGAAAAATGGCCTGGTCAGGAAGGGGGTCTAAACACCTGGTCAGCAAGCAGTTAAAGTCCAAAATTGACCATCCAATTCTCTTAGCTTCAAGTGTGGTTGCACCCAAAAACAATGTCTCCTGTGAGCACGTTGTCTCAGGATTGCAATAGCCATCACAAAGAACATGCCTGCATACAAATAAAACATGTCTGTTCACCAGCTTACTCACACAAAGGGAAGTGCTACGGAATGAAGAAGGAAGTAGCCTCAGAATAATCTGCATAATGACGGCCCCAAAAAAAGCACTGGAACGCGTCACAAATGCATCAGAAATGCACCGCATTTGCAGAAAAATAATTAATAGAGATGACCAAGTATATACAGTAATGAGGAATTCATTAAAGTTAAAATGATAGGAATTCCACTTTCTGATATCCTTAATTCAAATGTTAAAAAGAAAAAAAATGAGCTGTATAATATAAATAGGCAACAAGGTATGAAGCAACAACTATGCAATGGAGTAGTGTACATGAAAGTTTAGAGGCTGTTTGACTTGCTTTGTGTTGCGTTTCTTCAGATGAATGTTCCATTGAGTTGTTGCTGTTTTTTTTTCCAGCTGGACTCTCATACGACTAGCAATGGTGAAGCTTGCAGTTCATAATCTCAAGAATTTCTTTCCAATTGCTGGACTGGAATTAACAGGTTGGTCTTTCTCTTTTCCCCATGCTTTCTCAAAAATGTAAATAAATAGCACCCCTCTCCCAGTACTTTTGTGTTAATATGAGGGAGGGTTGAGCAAGCGATTCCCTGCATTACTTTCAATTAAAAAAATATATATATCTATCTGCACACACGCCAAAATAGCTTTTCTTCCACATTCAACAAACATTCCTTGACATTCTGGTCCATGTTGACGAGATTAAATCATGCAATTTGCAAAAACTTGTCAGCTGCACATTCATGCTGCAGATCACCCATTCTACCACATCCCCAGTGTATTCTTTTGGATTCTAATCCAGTGACTACCCTACTCTCTGTGTGCCTCATCAGAAATTGGAATTCATCGGACCAGTCTTCAACGGTCCAGTTTTGGTAAGCCTGTTTCCACTGCAGCTTTACCATTCTGACAGGTTGGCTGACGGGAGTGAAATTACATTGGGTGTTTTGCTGTTGTAGCTCATCCCCCTGAGGTCTGGTTCACATCTGCACGTCCTGGGAACGTGTGGTTGTGTGTGTTTGCGCACTGCGTTTGCCACGTGGACTCATTGATTGGAATGGGGTCATATCCTGCACCTTTGTGTGCAACGCGTGTGACTTCTTTTTCTGCCGTGCCATTTGCCGGCTGCGTTCGGGGTGCCATTAGAAATGGCACCACAAGCGCATTTTTGCACGTGATTCCGCAAACGCACGGTGATCGCAGGCGAAAATGCGCAAATCACACGTTCTTGGAACGCCCAGTTGTGAACCAGGCCTCAGGGTTCTGAGATGCCTTTATGCTCACACAGTTATAAAGAGTGGGTCTTTCTGTCAGCTGGAGCCAGTCTGGCCATATTTTCCTGACATCTCTCTTCAGCATGGCATCCCATCCATATAACGGTTGCTCACTGGATGTTTCTTTGCACTAAAGTAAACTAAGTAAACTAGAGAGTTTTGTGTGAAAATCCGAGTAGATCAGCATTACCCGGTCACCGAGATCACATATTTTTTACCATTCTGACTTTTTAAAGCTTCTGACCTGTATCTGCATAATTAAATGCATTGTACTGCTATCACGTGTTCCAAGGAAGGAAACCAGCAATAGGGTCATGAGCAGACAAGGCTCATTGATGCGCGTGCAGAGCAAAGGCTGGCCCATGTAGTTCGGTCCAATAAAAGAGCTACTGTAGCTCAGATTGCTGAAAAAGTTATTGCTGGTTCCAATAGAAAGGTGTCTGAACACACAGTGCATTGCAGTTTGTTGCGTATAGGACTGCGTAGCCATAGACCGCTCAGGGTGCCAATCCTGACCCGTGTCCACTGCCAAAGGTGCCTGCAGCGGGCTTAAGAGCATCAGAACTGGACCACGGAGCAATGGAAGAAGGTGGCCTGGTCTGATGGATAGCGTTTTCTTACATCATTTGGATGGCCGGGTACGTGTGTGTCGCTTACCTGGCAGAAGAGATGGCACTAGGATGCACTATGGCAAGAAGACAAGCTGGCGGAGGTGGTGTGATGCTTTGGGCAATGTTCTGCTTGGAGACCTTGGCTACTGCCATTCATGTGGCTATAACTTTGACACATACCACCTACCTAAATATTGTTGCTGACCAACTACACCCCTTCATGGAAACAATATTCGCTGATGGCAGTTGCCGCTTTCAGCAGGGTAATACGCCCTGCCACACTACAAAAATGGTTCAAGAATGGTTTGAGGAACTCAAAACCAGTTTGAGGTGTTGACTCGGCCTCCATATCTTAATCCAATTGGGCATCTAATGGAGGCCCCACATCACAACTTACAGGATCTGCTTCTGATGGCTTGGTGTCACATACCGCAGCATACCTTCAGAAGTCTAGTGGCATTCATACCTCGATGGATCAGGGCTGTTTTGCCGGCAAAAGCGGGACCTAGTCAATATTAGGGCTGATCAGTGTGTATATATATATATATAGATAGAGAGGCTTCACATTTAGCTTTTACGTTATTTTTGTTTTGCCAGTATTCATGATTTACTGCATTACTTTGCATTTATCGACATTAAACCTCATCTGCCACATTAATGCCCACTCCCCTATTTTATCCAGGTCCTCCTGTAATGTTATAGTGTCTATAATATAATGCCTTGTACAAATTATAAAATCTTGTTTTTTTGTGGGGTTTTTTTTTATTTAGACCTACCTGTTAAGTCCCCACTTGGCATTGCTGTTGTCAAAAACCTAGAAAAGTGGGAGCAGATTCTGCACGAGAGAATGGACCAGTTTGGGGGCCCCCCTCCTAATTATATAAATACCATTCCAAGTGAACTGGCTGTTGGTGCGGGACCTGCTATTCTTAGGCATAAAGCAATGCTGGATCCTGAAAATACACCATTCAAGTGAGTAGCATTGGCCTCCTGTGTTAAATGTAAAATATTTAAGGACTACTAAATGTTATATTACTCGACCAATTATATGCTGTAATATTTTCATAAATCTATTTTAACTAATAACACAGCTTTTTTTCTTTTTTTTTGCCCCAATGTCCGTTATATTGGTTTTGGGGTCATTGTTTTTTAAATAATAAGCTTTTAAACTGATATTTTATGCCTTTTTATGTTTATGAAATGCACCATTGACACTCATTTTGCATTTGATATTTTCTGAGGAGAGCGAGAAGGCAAAGTAAAAGCATTTTGATTTTAGACTCCATTCACAGCTGTGATCATATGAGACTTACAAACCCCTGTGCAGCTGTTTGCAGCCCGTTCGCATGTATCGCAGCAGATCGCCTGAGTTTCACTGAGGAATTTGTGAGGGTCATGTAATCTGCCCCATTCACAGGAGTAAATGGGGCCATAAACGGTCTTTTGTTGAAAGTCTGTGTGGAGCTATGCAGAGCCAAGAGTGAGGAGAAGGGACGGTCATTTAGGTGCATGTGTGTATAATTTGAGCTTTAGCTTTTGAGCTTTGTAAACAGCAGAGCAGTTAAGATTAGCCAAGTAAGCACGTGGAATTGTCCACCTCCTGGCTCAGAACTGTAAATCTGAAATATTTATTTGCAATACTTCATATAAAGCTGACTATAATTTTTTTAAGGAGGACCATGGGGTGAGTGAAAATCACTCATCCTCATAGTTTGAGACGATGTGTGACAATGAAACTGTCCAACGTCGGCTCAATAGATCGGGATGTGAGCGAATGCATACTGTCGCTTGCTCACTTCTCGATCATCTCCCTGCAGAGAGCTTTCAGTCGCCGCTCCCTGCAGGGACTCTCCCCTCTCCGATCCTCTAACGCTGACTGGAGGAACGGGAGGGGGCAGAGCCAACTGTCATTCACGCAGCTGGGTGGATCTCGGCAGCATTGTCAGGATCCATCCCGGCTGCGGCCGTCTCAGTGTACCGCGAGCTGTAGCTTGCGATATACTGAGCTTTTGGTCACAGGAGGACGCTGGTATATGTCCTCCCGTGACCCTTAAGAGAACTATGGCAAAAACACTAACCCCATAGTTCTCTTTTAAAAATAAATGTTTCAGTCTAGAAAATATTGAAGACAATGTATAGACAAAAACATTCTACATTGCCTTTAAAGATGTGACCGTTCATATTAAACATGTTCGTGCTAAAACACTCTTGCAATCTTTGATACAGATCCAAAGATTATTCTGCACTTCCTGTGAAACGTCTTTGGCATTACCTGGTCAAACAAGAAATTCTGCAGGAATCATTTATAAAATATATCTTCACAAAGAAGAGAAAGCAGAGTGAGGTAAACACTGGGACACAAACCTGTCTTTACGTTGTACATTCCTCTTTATTTGTGTGTGCTTTGGTTTTGCTTTTAGTGCCTGATTTGATTACGATCAATTTGGAGAGCTGTATGTTATGTTTGTTTTTATTTTTGGCAAAATATAAAATGGCTACAAAGACCAAACTGCTCTGTTTAAAGGGTTTGCTACTGCTTTAAGTCTTTTACAGCTAGCTCTTGTGCCCCTGATAGCATCAATGACCATTCAGCATAACTCCCAAGTGCTGTGTTATAAAATGGACGCGACTTGTTTATCATACAACCTTCACTAGCACTACACTGCGACTCCTGATAATCCTTGCTGTAAAGTTCAACTTCAGACAGAAGGAGAAATCGATGATCTGCCAGTGCATTTCAGAAAACATTGCAACTGTGCTAAATTCTGAAAATCCAATTTCCTATATCGCAGATGCATGTAATCTTGTGCATCTTATTGCAGGAGCCTAACATCCTCGCTGGTTAAAACTGAGCTTTGTATCCCATGATTCTATGCAGCAACCGTGCATTACAACAATGCAGGCCAGAGATTCGTAAGCTTACCATACACTCGATTCCCCCATCCATATTAACAGCATCGTTGGGGGATTACCCCCAGTCTTCCATTATATTCTGAACGATTGGCTGCAGTCACTGTTCAGCCGCGATTTTTATATTCGAATGAAAAATCTACAGTTCTTGTCCGAGCTGGGAGATGGGTTAGTCCCAACAGAGCCAGGCACTGTTTAATTTCGGTGGTCCGAATCCAGAAACCGTGGATGGGTAGACTGTGTTGCCTGTATGCATTTCAGTGCTTCATTTTTTTTTATTGGCAGCCAGAGTGAAGGGTATAGTTTAAGGGGAATTTTTCTTCACAAATAGGAAACCCCTTGTATTATGTTATGAGAGCAGTTGTTTTACCAGCAGCTTAAAATATGTAGAGCACTTTCTTAAGTTCCATAATTTATTTTGTAAATGGTAAGTATGTTTAAAAACATGCAGCAACGGAAAGATCTGTAAGTATGATGTTCCTGCTGTAGTGTTTCTCTTTAACATTTAAGACTTGTGTATGTATTTAATTTTGTGTGATTTGCTCATTGTCCGTAGTCTAAAGATGTGCATTTATTGTGCATGACAATACATTATCCGTATTTGTCATGCTAATAAGATGGTTTCCAAATTGTGATCTGGAATGTCTCATTCTTTGTTTTTTTCTTGTATGTGTTTGTGCATGTGTTTTCGTGTTTGTGACTGTGTGGTGTCATGTAGTCTGTAGAAGACAATGCGGAGCGTGTCAGAGTAGACTCCGTAACAGATCTTCAGAAAAATCAGGTAGTATGTCTTACCAAGGCTCCTTCTCCTCTAGCACTCACCTCCATGTTCACTGGTACCAGCATTTTATGTCTTCCATTATAGCTGTGGTGTCTTCTGGGTGACAGGTATTTCATTGCCTTTATTCACATTGCTGATGGTGTGCATTAAATCCTCAAAATGTTAAATATATTGGGAAATCTTATTATGCTGGCCCTAGACATGCATGCATGGCTAATGCTACAAACTTACATACGTATATGACAGGCAGAAACCCACAACACTACCACTTATCTCTGCCTGTCAGTCGCAGTCAAGGAGAGAACATCTCTGCTAATATCTCCACCATTGGCAGTGGTGGTCAAAGGAACTTTCCTCCATTCATCTGTTCCCCTTAGGTTGCCCTGGTTTCATCCAGCCCTACCTAAATCAAAAGAATCTAATGTCTGCACCCTAATCCATACTAAAACAAAAGAAGATGCTTACCCTCAGCAAGAACCGAGAATGCAAAACTCGCAGATTGGTCTTTTCTGGCTTCTATGTTAGTTTTCTGCTTTTAACTGCTTTTCTAGAACTTTTTTCCAGTATTTTGTGTACTTTGGTATGGGGGGATTCCTTTCTATGTCTAACATCCATAAATCTGCTATATCCGTAAAGTGCTGGAACAAGTGAACACTGCATGTGTTAAAACTTGTTGTACGTGTGCTTCAAGGAAAAGAATACTCCTAGACTTGCTGTTTTGATGCCGGAAATCTTCTTTCTTGTAGGTTGAAGCTGATCTCGGTTACCCAGGTGGAAAAGCAAAAATCATTCACAAGGAGTCTGACATTATAATGGCTTTTGCTGTTAACAAGGTAAATGCCTCGGAAATTTAAATGCAGAACTGTGCCTTTTATATTTTAGTACTCCCATAGGAAAGCTGATTTAGGGAAGCAATACTTCATGCTTTTTAAAGCGGGTTACAGCACAGAAAGATTATATACCCATTAACACTGTGCACTGTATTAATCCAAACGCATGATAAAACATACCTACAGGTGTCTGTTTTTCTCAACACAAGTGCAAATGGTTGACATCTGCGCTCTGCACTATCTTGGTGCGTTTAGGTGCCATTCAAATTGAATCGAACTGCAACACATTGCACTTAACTGTTAGAATGGTGAGGCATAATCAAATGTGCGTGTACTGCAGTGATGTGCTCTTGTTTTTTGACCTGGCATACACTGTAAACAAAGCCCTTTTGTATGTGTTTCATCTAGGCAAACTGCAATGAGATTGTCCTTGCCTCTACACATGATGTACAAGAACTTGATGTGTCAGTTCTCCTGGCTGCCCAGCCTTACGTGTGGATTGGAGAAGAATATGACAGAGAATCTAAAAGGTTTTTTTTTTACTCCACATCCCATTCTGTTGTTTTGAAATGTAGAAAGGCAATAAAAAAGCTGTCTTTTTTCCTAGTTCTGATGACCTTGATTTCAGAGGATCAATGACTGCCATTCATCAGACAGGCGTAGCTTCTTTTAACCTTGGGCAGATGCAAGCCTCTTCATCCATGCCGTGGCTAGGAAGTGGACAGACAAGCACTGGAGCTGGCATTGTAGGCATTTTTCATTATTTATTGCTAGGCGCACACACACACCATTGCCCCTTAGCCATTCATAAACTGATGGTTTAATTAAATTGAGTAATGTGCTTCGTTATAGGTGGAGCTGTTTTTACATTTTAAAGCACATACTTAGCAATGTGGCTTCAGCTTTTTATCTGAAAGTACCGTTTTTTCGTGTTTTTATTCACAACTGTGTCTGATAGCCTGCATTGAGTTATGAATTTGATGTATGGGGGCTTGTTTTCCTCCAGGTGCATGTTACAGTGCAAGCAAAATTGAGATGGTGTCTTTTAATCATGCAACACACCTTTAACCCAAAGCGTTCTGGTGGGAGCAAACCTGGAAATATACTAAACATGAACTGTAAAAATGATTGTTGGAAGCCAACTGGCTGCTAGATGCAATAAGAAATATTACCTTTAGCGGGTGTTTCATAAATTAGGCCCTATGTGTGTTCACAAGTCCATGTTCCTCTACATTTCGAAATGTAAAATGTATTGGATGTTATACCAAGAAGCCAAGTGCCTCGACGATGTGTTTTGTTCTTGGATGGAGAGCTGTTTATCACCAGCTGTCTTGTGACGTTCCAGTAATTACTTTATGGACCTTGTGTATTAATGTGCACTCTAAAGGTGCTCATAGACTGCGCGATCCCGCGGTCGTACAAGAATCGTGCAGTGTATGGAAGGCGTGCGACCGTACAGTAGAAACGGTCGCACGCCTTCCATACACTGCACGATTCTTGTCTTCCGTCGAACAAGCAGGCTGGAAAACCCGCCGGGAATCGTACGATTCTCGGCGAGTTAGTGGCCTGCTTGTTCGACAACTGCCGACCGGGCCGGTGTGCGTACACGCACACTGCCCGTTTGCAGTCATCGGAAACCCGCCCCTCATTGCAGTCATCGCAAGTACGATCTGCCTGTCCAAGATGGGCAGTTCGTACGTTTTTTTAAAGTACTTTACAACCCTCGCAAGACAAAAGTCTTGCGAGGGTTGTAAAGTGTATGGGCACCTTAATGCTGTATTTTTCCTGCTGACCTGTCCAAGACATTCTTCATAAAAACAATATAATTTGCATATCTTTTGTTTTCATTTTTCTGAACTTTTAAAGCATTGTTCATTTCTGGTTTTCTTTTATTTCTGTGTTATTCCTAAAAGCTCATAAAAAGAAATCTGAATAATGTCAAAAGAATGGCCTCACACCCTGTCCACCAATACTGTAAGTATACGATTTAAACTGAAATGTCCTTAAAGAACATGAAACTTAAAACCAGAACATTGACATTGTTTTATCAACTTTTCACTAGATCTTACTGGTGCTCAGGATGGCAGTGTCCGTATGTTTGAATGGAATCGACCACAACAACTTTTATGTTTCCGCCAGGCTGGCAATGCTCGGGTTACCAGGTTATACTTTAACTCCCAAGGCAACAAGGTTAGTTTATTTCATAATGTACTACACTGTTTGGGTTACCACACTTCTCCATGGTTTGGTATTGTGCATCTAGCTGTTGTTCGTTTTTGGTAGGCATGCAAGAGTGAATTATAAATTCTAGAGTAAAGGAAACACATGAGCCATTGAAGAGTCAGCTGAGTTACACTAAAAACAGTGTAAAGCTAGAATCTCATTGCCATGCTTTACTTTCTACCCCAGTTTTCACAAAGCAGGCCCATTCAGCATGTACATGTGACTGCCTTCCTTAACCTTTTGTAAAACTCTGCAGAATAACTTGACATTTACCCCGTTTCACTAAAAAATCACATCAGTATGCAGCTCTGCATGCTTATATGAAATCATCTTACATTCAGTAGTTAAACAAACATTTTTCTTTTACTTACAATTACTGTTTTTCCACTTCCTGGTCCTCTTCGCATTTTGATGTAATCTGTGCCCAAGCAATGCATCCTAGGAAGGTTACATCAGCAGTGCATTGCTGGGAATTCTCATCTGTAATCTCACTAGTTCTCAGGGAAAGGCATTTTCCTCCCCTGAGATGATCTTCATGCTCATATGTCTTAGTCACATTTGCCAGAGTTCCAGGAAGCAAAGGGAGCTATAGTGATCTGCCCTTAGTAAAAATGGTCACTGTGAGTAGAATGGGGAGGAAAAGAAAAATAAGGTGTGCAAAGAATAAAAAGCCGGCAATTATTTAATAGGGCTGCGGAAATTAACGATTAATTTCTAGATTAATCATTAAACTTTTTGATCGATTAAAATTCTTTTGATCGCTAATGAAAACACTCGCCCCTCCGTCGACTTCCGGGAGTCCCGTCGGAGATCCAGTGATGTCACGGACATTGACGTCACCGGGGAGGAGTCCCTAAGTGGCTCCGTGGATGTCCGTGACGTCACCGGTCTCCTCCCCCTTCCGTTCGTTAGCCGACGGAGCCACTTGGGCCGGTGAGTTTGCCCAAGAAACTTTCTGCACGAGCGCCAGCCAAGGCATTGGCCTATACACATACACCACAGCAATGAAGTAATAAAATAAACTAGGATCACACTAATCCAGCACGTTATTATTCTGAGTTGCCCCACTCAAGCGGCGGCCATATTGAGTGGGGCACGTGAGATTAATAACGTGCTGGATTAGTGTGATCCTAGTTTGTTTTATTACTTTATTGCTGTGCTGTATGTGTATAGGACAATGTAGTTGGATCAGTATGTGCGTTAAAATTAATCGATTTAATCGAACACAAAAATTGTAATCAGTAACAGCCCTATTATTTAAACATTTCTGTTTGTAGATTGTCAAATACGAAACATTTCTAAATGTCTTTGTTGTCATTTCAAAGATATGGGTAACGTATCTGTTTTAATGTCAACTTCTAATATAAATGTTGGCTATGATGAACACCTGCAGAGTATTGCTGTGATGAATTAGCATTGTCACATGTAGAATCTGCTCTGTCTCGGGGTGTAAGCATTAATGATGAACAGCTGGATACTGAAAACAGGATTTGGTTGGTTTACAAAAGTGGACCTAAACTCTAGAACTGAAGATGTACTGTGTTATAGGGAACATTTTTAGAAAAGTTAGTTGTGCCCAAATAATACCCTAAAAATATACAGTTTATCTTGAATTCCGCCAGAAAAATTGCAGTATACTTTGTGGTATGTGAAGGTGCCTAGGAACTCCTGTATATACAATGACATAGAGGTAGCATTACCTTAGATCGTATACTACAGATACACAGCTGACTGCTAGTCTCTCTGCTTACTGTTCTCCTTACTGGAGAATGACATGAAAAGGCAAAGTAAAGGAACAAAGAAAGAAAGGGAATAGGGGTTGGATATAGTATCAGCTTGCTATTCACTTGGACACTATCCGGTACATATGTATTGTGACATTCCTGGATCACTCATAGTATAAAGTACCAGAAGATCACTTTTTTGATGAAAAGATGAGGGCTCATCTAAAACAGAAGAATGGTCAGCACTGTTAATGATATGTCAGCCTGGTACCTGGGATGTATCCTGTGTGGGTGGTAAAAAGAATTGACTTAAAAGAATCCTGTCATGAGAGATGCACATCCTTCCTTTGGCACCCTCCTTCTAAAAAAGGTAATTACTTCTCTGTCTTGCAGATCCAGTGGTCTTAGTGACTAGGAGCAAGCATGCAGATCTATAGTTTGAATTTTACTTGTTGCCTACTTGTACAAAGCATTTGAAGCCATAGACAGTCAGGCAATTAGACATTTTAGACATAGGTCAGTCCTTTGGTCTCTATTTGGATTGGGGATGCTGCTAGTAAGTTCACTTGTCTAATCAATAAGATATATTGATGATTGGTTGGTGTTCTGTTGTTTTACTCTACAGTGTGGTGTTGCAGATGGAGAAGGATTCTTAAGCATTTGGCAAGTAAACCAAACAGTCTCTAATCCAAAACCTTATTTGGTAAGTTGTTGGGAAAATAAATAATTAGTTTGAATATCAGCTTTAGGTTTCATTGTATATATTTTTTTTTCCATATTTACTTTCAAGTTTAGCAACAGCGACTATCGCAAACATCCATTTGCTCTCTTGTCTGGTTTTCACCTAGTCTGTGAAATTTCATCCGTAGATGTCAATTTATCGCTATTAAAAAAAAAAAAATCAGTCTGTAGGCAGCTATGTTTAGGAGAATGATTGCTTTGTCCTCCGATAGCTTTTTAGTCTTCCACGTACATAACACGTCATTGTGAAAGTCATTTTTTCAAACAATTTTCAGTGAATAACAGATCACAAACATGTCTTTACCTGAGTGAGGACCTTCAGAACTATCATTTGAAGCCAGAGCCAAAGTTGTTTCATGCAAGTCCTGGTATTTTTATAAAATGCTCTGCTAGAAACACAATAAGTAGAACTTCTGCTCTGAAGGTAATTTTTGTATGTTTACAGCTGCAAGCGGAATGATAACCGGATTAAACCTTTACAGCATAATTGCTTTAGATGTGTATTCACATTGAAGATGTTGGACCCAATTATAATAACGACTTTTCAGCAAACCTTAAAATTGTTCAGTTGCTGGGGTTTTTCTGTCCCTTCATGGTGGCAGTGGAATTAAGTTACCCTTTTCCTATAAAACCCAGAGCAGCCATTTCAGCAAATCCAATAATATGTATTATAAGCTTTTTGATTGCAGAGTTTGGCATCATATCCATCACGTCAGAATGCTTTGAGTAATATTTGAGGGTTTTGGAGAAATTAAAATGGAATTGCGTGTTCACATGTTTATAGTGTGAACAGGTTTTTGTTACATTTGAAGCAGTGGAAAATAATTGGGCAATAATAAATGTATTGTAACATAATGTAAAAAAAAAAAGTTTTTTTTCCCCACAATTTTCAGTAATTTTTTCCTTGATATAGTAAAAAAAAATTTAAATCTCTGGTGAACAAATACCACCAAAAGAAAGCTCTATGTGTTCCCCCCAAAAAATGGTATAATAGTCATTTCAGTACAGCGTTGCATGACGGAATAAATGTCAAAGTACTGCAGCGCTAAGTACTGACAAATGGCCTGGCCAGGAAGGGGGATCTAAACACCTGGTTAGCAAGTGGTTAAATGGGCCTTTCAGCATTAGGCATCTGATTTTCAGATTTGTGAGGCTGCACCTGGTCTTCTGTTAGTTTTACAAAGTGAATGTTTAGGCCTCATCTGATGCCAGCTTCGGTTCTAAGGTGCTTTAACCGCTTCCCGGCCGGCCGTAGTACAAAAACTGCGGGCCGGGAGCTTTCTGGATGTAACAGGCTGTGTATACACGGCCTGTTAGCCCTGCCCACACGGGCGCGCCGTGCGGCACGAGCGGAAAAGGCACAACATTTATAAACCGGCAGCGATGCCCGTTACCTAGTATAAGCTGCCGGCCCGTGCGGCCCCCCCTCCCGTTGTCACGCTGGTCCTGGGCTCCACTGTGCCCGGTGCAAGCCCAGGACCAGCATAGTGCCACTCTGACAGGGGATCAGAGGGAGGTCGGTACACGAACTCCCTCCGGTGTCAGAATGCGGAAGTGATGTATGTTACATCACTTCCGCATTCTCGTGTCACTCTCCAGCTTCAGACACTGGAGAGAAGCTGATAGCTGATGAAGCAGATCTCTGCTTCATCAGCTTCCTCAGGGGGGTCCTAGGTGACATTAGGGGTCTTGGAGACCCCTGATGTCTCCATAAAGAGGACCTGTCACTTCTTTTGCTATCACATAAGGGGTTTTCTTAGCCCTATATCTGATAACAATAAAGTAAAGTAGAAAAAAAAATTTAAGTTTCACCCAAAAAAAATTAATGTTACACATAAAGAATGTAAAAAACCCAAAAAATGTTGTAAAGTCCCCACCCATACATGCACGCATGCAAACATGCGTCAGGTGCGTATACCTGCGAAAACGACGATTGCCCCCATTACGCCGCACATGTTACATATCTCCGCAAACGTCGCAGTGAGAGCAATAATTCTAGGGCCATCAATCACTGATAACACTAAACTGATGAGCGGTAAAAGCTTTTAAATAGCCGCCTATGGCCAATTTTGGGTATGGTAGTTTTTTGCGGGTGTGCGCAATTTTTAAGCATGACATGTTAGGGGTCCATTTACCCGACGTGACCCCGACTTTTATATTTTACTCAAAAATTGGGTAATAATAAATGTTTCCTAACAATGTAAAAAAAAAACTTTTTTTTTTCAAAATTTTCAGTAATTTTCCCAAAATATAGTAAAAAAATAAAAACCGCAGTGGTGATTAAATACCACCAAAAGAAAGCTCTATCTGTCCCCAAAAAATGGTATAAAATGTATTTCAATACAGCGTTGCATGACACAATAAATGTCAGTCAAAGTACCGCAGCGCTGAATACTGAAAAATGGCCTGGACAGGAAGGGGGTCTGAACACCTGGTCAGCAAGCAGTTAATCAGCTCTGTGAGCTCTACTGAGCTGCTTCGGTTATATTATGGTTTACATTGGCCTGTTAGTAATTTGTTTACTGTGTTGCCCACCTCTCAATTATACTGCTTTTGGATGTCCCAAGGTTCCTAATTTACTATCCTGTATCCCGTAATGTACAATTAAGAAAACGGGATATGTGACTTACCATCATAGATTTTCTGCAGCTCTTTAAAGAGAACAATATTTCCATTTACCTCAGTCTTTCCCACAATCTTATGGGGTTTTTGTTCAAGCACACACAACATTAAGTGGAAACTAATGAACTCACTGCAATATTTTTGTGTAAATACACACATTCTCCATTCACATGTGTGGTTAGGAAAACAAAAACCTGGGACCTCAGTACTGCCACAAAAAAATGCTAAGCACCTAGCCTGCCTGCATATATGTATCCCTCCGCATTGACGGAACACCCACAGACTTTTCCCCCACACTGACCCTGCTACCCATCACGCTTGTCTTGGTGGGCATTTATGAAAGCTGCTATATTTTGATAATAGAATAATGTGATGTGATTTGTCAAAATCAAATTATGTTTTCTCTGTTGTGTTTTAGCAGTTCGTTAAATATATATGGTGCCAAGTTGCTTTTGTTATACACACTATACGATGTTGCAAACTTTTTATATGTCTTTGTAATTGGTAAAGTTATACTACTGCCATGGTTTCAGCCCTGCAAAGTTGTACACGCTCCTCTCCTGTACTGAAACTGTTTACAGTGTACATTAGAAGCTATAACAAGTCAGATAGAGGAAATACAAGGTCATCTAGTGCTTTCCACTTCGTTCTAACTTCCTGGCCTGCCCCATTCACTGGATTTTAGTTTGTTCAATCATGGAGGCTCAGCATCACATGTAGTGCTACCTAGGGCAGTTTGCATGCAAATGTAGCTTGCCTAGGAACTCCCACTTTTCCAGACTGACATCCACCCATCAAGGCATTTTTATATTTGCATAACTCCTCGAAAGAGCCCGTCCACTGCTTGCATCAGGGCTGAGTGCTCTTGAGAACAGTACTGAGGCAGGGAGCTGTGATGTTTTCAGGAAACTATGTACAGCACCCAGCCAGACCCTCCCATAATAATATCACTGGGTTTAGAAGAAGTATGTGATGAAAACAGGTTTTATTTTTTTTTTTAAATCATTAACGTGGAAATACGGAACCAGGGGAGGCAAAATATAAGCAGATTGAACTTCAGCTTTAATTAGCGCTGAAAATACTAATGATATGATTGCACATTTTGTACTGGCAAGCTTTTATTATACACTTTTTCTGTGTATTCACTTGTCACAACCAGTTTGCTAAAGTCAATGAGATTCTACTGAGAGCTCTACTCTCCAGAAAATATACTATAGGAGTATAATAAATCACCTGGGAAACCTAGAGACTTCCAGTTTACATAGTTACGTAGTAATTAAAAAGAAAACACACAGGTCATCCTGCCAGTATTGATCTATGGGAAGGTCTTTTTTCATTTCAATTTTTTTTTTTTGTGGAGAATAACACATTAAATAGTCACTAGAATGTATTAACTACCAAGTAAGAGGGAGGGCAATGTATTTCACCCTTGTCAGTTCTGAATAATGGCATTCATTGTTTAAAAAAAAAAAAAAGATTTCAATAAGAATAATGATGTGGTGGGGAAATGTTAGAATATGTTGGGTGTGTGTATGTATGTATATATATATATATATATACATACACACATACATACATACACACATACATACACACATACAATCAATCTATATCACGAGATATACATGGTGTTACATTATTGCCACAGACCATCCCCAGCAGCTAAAAAAAAAGGTAATCACAAGATGCCATTTTTTGTGGAATAAATAGTCCTCTACAGATCAGTTACCGTATTTTTCACTCCATAAGACGCACTTTTTTCCCCCCAAAAGGAGGGGGGAAAAGTGCCTGCGTCTTATGGAGCGAATCCCGACGCCCGAGACATGCAGTTTCGGGCGCCGGGCGAGTAGTAGGAGCCACTGCTCGTTTAATACGAGTGATCTAACGAGATCACTCGTATTAAAGCCGAGCAGCGGCGGCGGCGATCGAGTTCAGCAGCAGGAGCCACTGCTCGTTTAATACGAGTGATCTAATGAGATCACTCGTATTAAAACCGAGCAGCGGCGACGATCGAGATAACCATAGAGCAGACGAAGAATAGACGTTCTTCGCCTGCTCTGTGTCATCACTGAGACCGTGGCGCTGTAATCACAGCGCCACCTGTCTCAGCGGTCACTAACTGCAGCTTCTGTCACAGCTTCTGTCATAGAAGCTGTGACAGAAGCTACAGTCTCGAGTGCTCCATAAGGCGCGCCGGACCTCCCTGCGTCCTATGGTCCGGTGCGTCTTATGGACCGCAAAATACTGTATATGTAGAACACATTTGTATGTTGTTCAGTACACAGTTTTACCCACTCCTGCTTTTTTTATTTTATTTAATTTCAATCACCGATTTCTTCCTGACTGCAGGAAATAAATTCTATGGTGCCAAGTTGTTGTCCACATTACAAGTGATGTTTTCATTTAAAGGAGAACTATGCGGTGAGTGATTTACACTCATCCTTATAGTTAGAGCCGACGTGTGACAATGAAATTGTCACAGGTCGGCTCTATTGATCGGGAAGTGAGCGAACACATACCGTTGTTCACTCACTTCACGATCATCTCCCTACAGAGAGCGGTGACTGTCGGGGATTCAGCTGGCTATGTCTCTAGATAGGCAGAGCCAGCTGTCAATCAGCCAGCTGGGTGGATCTCAATAGTATTGTAGGTTACCAGCACTCAATTAAAGTGCAAATAGTAGTTGCTTCATTGGAGAATGTTGTCACATAGGTTAGAATGCCAAAGTTTTTGGGCCATGCAGGGTCCCTTCATCAGGGCTACAGTCACCATGTGGCCCTGATGAGGGGATCCTGCATGGCCCCAATACGTTGGCATTCTAACTTATGTGACAATATTCTTTAATGAAGCAATACTATCTTTACACAGCAGTACAGACCTGACATTCTAATGTTTAGTAATCTGTGACATGCTTTTAAATCATGCACCTTCTATTGCCTGTGCACACTCCTTATTCAAAAGGGCTCCGCTACCTCCAAAAATCGGTGGTACTTTATTGCTGAAAACCAGACCCATAGCTCCTGTGATTGTGTTGTGGTCTGCCCCTGGTTGCTTTCCCTGTCTTTTTATTGGTTCACCCTTCACATCCCGCAGCCAGTAGAAAGAAAATACGACAACCATTACAGATGTCCTCCTGGTTGCTGTAATAATGGTCCCACTGTCAGATTGTTATGGATTAGAAGCCTATTGGTTCTAATTTAAATTACAAAATGGCTCATGTAGTAATTTATATTGTAACATTTTTTTCAGTTTGAAAGGACGAATGTTTATTGATGAGTGTGTTCATTAGAATAGGTTTAAGTCTAAAGTATTAATAAAGCATTTTTGTATTATTTTTTTTGCAGAGTTGGCAGTGTCATTCTAAAACGACAAGTGACTTTGCCTTTATTACCTCATCAAGCTTGGTTGCAACATCAGGGCAATCCAATGATAACAGGTATGCTTTTCTAGAGTCATTGGATAATAATGCATGTTTTCATGACAGTGGCATCATATTTATATTAAAAGGAGATTGGCATTCATATTTTTTTGTTTTACTGACAGTAATTATGTCACATTTCAGCACCAGAGTTGATGACTTTAAACTAGATGGTAACGGAATGTATACATACATCCTGTCTTGTGTTCTATCCCTGTTAGTGTCAGTCTGTGCTGCAAGTCTAGGAAAAGAGGACTCATGAATGTGCAATTAAAATGAATGGGTCCTGAAATTGTTAAGCAGGCAGTATACTTGTCTGATGACTTTTACACTGCGATCTGGGATTCCTGCAGCAAGAATCCCAGGTGTCCCCGTTCAGATGCGACTTCTGTACACACTGAAAATAAATGTAAGTAAATAACACGGTGGCAGCGGCAGTCCGAATGTAATTGTACACTATATGATTACATGCAGTTTGGAATAGAGGATTGTCACTGGACGCTTCTATCCTGCGTCCAACGACAATCATCTATCCCAAACCAGGTGTAATCATACAATGCACGATTACAGACTTCCGCTGACAGATGCGGCTGCTGTCACCCTGTCAATAACTTGCATGGCTACAGCAGCCGCATCTGAACGGTGACACCTAAGAACCCATAGGTTCTTGTCACCCGAATCCCAGGATGCAGTAAAGTCCCCGTGTGATTAGGGAAAGAAACAACGTATCTGTTGTGACTCCTAAACCTGGTTTTGTTTTGCACTGTATTTATGGTGTCTTAGGCCCCATTCACACCAAGGCGACAACGTTTCAGTGCATTTAACGTGTGTTTTTTTAAGCGCGTTTGTGCGGGTTCTTAACGCGAGCTTTAGCGTGTTTTACAAGCGTTTTCTGGTCATATGTCAGAGCGGTTTTTAAGCTCATTTCAGTTGTCCAATGAAAAGCAGTCTTGGCTACAAATATGCGCTGAAACTCGCATAAACACCGCGCGTTAGACGCGCATATAAAGACGCACATTTTGACTGGTGGATCAAAACCATTGTGGTAAATGGGAAAACATGCAAAAGCGCAGATAACAATATGGGTCGCGTGGTTTTCAGGTTTTTATATTGAAGTCTATGGAGCCAAACGCACGCAAAAACGTCCTAAAGAAGCTCAGGAACTTTTTTGAGCGACAGACGCTTTGCAGCTTGCGACAAAATGCCTAGGTGTGAATGGTGAAATTAATGGGAATTTAGGGGCCGAGCATTTTGTCACACATAAATATGCCCGACAAAACGCCTGGGTGTGAATGGGGCCTTATTGCTGTCCCATTTTTGGCTTGTGTATTGTTTTTGTTGATTATGCAATTTATTCCTGATCATTAGGAACTTTGAATAGCTCACAAAATCTTAGCAGTTTGGTTTACCAATAAGGGGACCTGATGCGGATATTCATTTACAGGTTTCTTGTTTGTAATGTGGCTGCATATGAACAGAGGAGTGGTGATCTTTAAGCTAGAATAGCTGCAGAGCTTCCAAAGCATTGGGAGCCTTTTACATGCATATTGCATAGTCCTGAATACATTTTCCTAACAACATTTATAAATGGGAACATAAGATAAGGCATCCCCGAAAGTGACTGAATAGGGCACCACTTCTGCTGGTATAAACATACAAACCCTGTCAGGTGGTCGCTACCAACTTCTGAAGGGAGGCACCCTCTCTTCAGAAGTTGGTAGCGACCACCTGACAGGGTTTGTATTTGCATGGACACAGCAGATGGCAGTTATTTCCTGTTGCCAAAATTCAACCCTTGCACTTGTCACACACTCCCTGGTAACTGTGTGTTACTTTCTCTTCTTGCTTTAGAAATGTTTGCCTGTGGGATACATTAATATCATCCAGTAACAGTCTTGTCCATGGTAAGTAAACGATATTCCTGTAGAAATATGTAAAAAAATTACCCAAAAAAAAAAAAAACCACAGACTTTTGTCTTCAGCAATGCTTTGAGTAGACAAGATTTTAACTTCTCTTTTTGTTGCATGTCCTAAACATTGCATGCAATAGTAGTTAGAAACCAGTACAAGAGAAAGTGATCCTTGTTCTGTAATGTAGGAATAATGTGGCAATTAAGATTTATTCTAGTGCGTCCTTTCCATGTTGTAATTGTTAACCAAATTTAGGAAAAAGAATGCTTTCATTTATGAAATAAAAACAATGAGCTAAATTTGTTTATATTGGTAGAATTGTAATTTTTGCCTTGGACTTTGACAGGAGACTGTAACAAACAATTTGATTTATGGAGACTTTAGTCATAATACTAAAGAAAAGGTAAACACCATAGCTCCCTTTCAAGTTCTTAATAAGCTCATTCTGTAGAAAAAACATATATAGTTACATAGTATTTGAGGTTGAATAAAGACATAAGTCCATATAGTCCAACCTATTGCTTGTATGCATATGGTTCTGCTGGTGAGTCCATGTGTTCTTAAGAGTACCTGTACCCCTGTATGTTATGGTCTCTAAGGTAATCGTCCAAAAGCTTCTTGAATGACTCCACACTCTTAGCTGAAATCACTGCATGTGGCAGAGAGTTCCAGACCCTAACCGCTCTAACTGAGAAGAACCCCCTTCGCCCCTTGTGCTGAAATTTTTTCTCCAGCAATTTTAGATGGTGGTCTCTAGTCTTGGTTATGGAGTTAATCGTAAAGAGTTTGTTGCTATCACCATTGAAGATTTTGTACATGAAAATCATGCCCTCCTTACTTCCAATGTGAAAATATTTAAATTTAGTAGTCTCGTCTCATAGCTCTAGTCCTCCATCCCCTTAATGAGTGTGGTTGCCCTCCGCTTATTTTATTTAAAAAAATAAGTGATCATTCTTCTGTATTGAATCATGATATTTTTCTTAATCAGTTACATAATTTGAAACTGGTTAGTGTTAGAATTTTTGTTAAAGGGTAACTGGAGATGGGGGATGGCCCATGCAAGGTGTAATTTACTCTTACGTAGACATGAGATGTTTAGCACATAACCAGCCAATCTTAATAGGACAAGGTGAGGATAATATCTCTATAGGCATTCTCAGTTGCATTGGTTGACTGGTGTTGCCTTTTAATAGATTTAGAATGTTGTGAAATGTGAAATTTTAATGTTGTTTTCCCTCTGTGTTTTAGCATTCAATTGCCATGAAAATGGAGCCACAGTACTTCAGTATGCAACAAAACAGCAGCTCCTTATTACTGGTGGCAGAAAAGGATTAATCTGTATCTTTGACATTCGACAAAGACAGATGCTTCACACTTTCCAGGCTCATGACTCAGCTGTTAAAGCTCTGGCACTGGATAGCTCTGAAGAATACTTTGTCACTGGTTCAGCAGAAGGGAACATGAAGGTAAAGCATTTTAAAACTTAATTGGAAGAAAAGGAAATGTCTTTTTGTAGTGATCTGACAATGTTGTTGACCAGATTGTGTCACGAATCTTAATTACCTTTTTTTTATTCTCTGCTTTAGGTATGGAAGCTGACGGGCCATGGTCTGATTCACTCCTTCAAAAATGAGCATGCTAAGCAATCCTTATTTCGTAATATTGGTGCAGGCGTGATGCAGATAGAAGTAGGCGAAAACAAGCGTATCTTCTCCTGTGGAGCAGATGGCACTCTGAAAATGAGGGTGTTGCCTACTGCTTTGAAGACCCAGTCCAGCATATTTGATATTCTTTAAGCAGTTGAATTACAGACAAGTCTCCCGCTGCTGCAACACATGTAGGAAGAGTTAGCAAGGAGCTAGAAGCTTTAGAATACCATTGTAAAGGTTACTTACTATGGAGCAAGGTTAAGTGCTGCTGTAAAAGATAGATAATCATGTCTGCCTTGTTGGTTAAGGTCACTAGGATGGTGCAAATGAAGAAAGTGCTGACAAGCCTATACTGCTTTGGCAGATACTTCTAAAGTTCTGGAATCACTTAGATGTATTGTTTAAATGCTACAATGTATTTGTGTTCAGAAATTCATTCAGTGCTGAAACTTAATGGAGTAGCAGACTGCTGGCTATATAAGGGTCAGGAACAAAGGGAATCCACAGATTCAAAAAAGGGATCCAGTGGCTTTAAAAAGTTTACAAACACCACTTGTTTAATTTTAAATGCCTGTGTATAATGTGCAATGATATGCCACTCCTCAGCACAGGAGCATCACTGGGGCCAAGTGCACATACATAAAAGAATACAGCTATTTCAAAATCTTCTCATGTTTCTTCATTCACAGTGCTCCCATGATCGCTAATGGACAAAGATTGAGTGGCTTTTTTTTTTTAATTTACAGTTTAAACTGTTTACACATATTCCCAACATTTGCTTCCAGTTTTGACACTTTTACCTTATGAAAGCATGTCTATATTTTCCTTAGAGTCTGTAATAAATGAAGGTAATGTATGTACGTACTGTCACTCGATACAAATCCATGAAGATTGGTTATAGAATTTGCTTTGAAGTTTTTGAGTGAAAGGAATGGTTATTAATTTCTTTGGCAGGTATTGTTTTATCGTAAATTTTTAAAGTTTTATTTATTTATTTATTGTTTTGTTGTTTCAGCATTGTAATTTGCACATCATTTTAACTGCAGTGTTTCCTTTACACTTGACTTTTGCACACTACCACTTTGACCACCTGACAATATGGCTTTAGGACTTGTTTTTATTTAAGAAAACCTCTGTGTTGGTTGTAGTGAATGTGAATTGCATTCATGCTTTGTTGATTTTTTTTTTTTTTTAATACATTTTGGGGTTTGTTCAAATAAATGTTATTCTGCTGGACACCCAACCTGTCATTTACTAGGATGCACCAAGATATCATGGCCACTTCTCGGACAGATTCCACAGCACCACGTTTTAAAATGAATGTTAGGCTTCCTGTGGCCAGATAGTGAATAGTCAAAAAAAAAAACTAAATTATTACACAGCATATGTATAACTATGCAGAGTTTAATATTGTCGGCTTGTAAAATACTAGGCAGTGTTGTCTTACTTTGATGTAATTCACTATTGTAAACATACATAATGTTAATAAGCTACCCAAGACTACTGTCTGTATTTAACTGTCTTCCTTTGACTTGTCTGATTATTTTTAATTCAAAAGTGTGTGTGCGTGTTGTACTGTAAATTATACTGGCATTTCATGCACCTTTCTCTGATAAAATTGCCTTCTTTGAGGACAATTTAAACGTATAAAGTATGTATAGGAAGGAGAGACTCGTCAGTTTTACCTTTGTAACTTAAATAAACCCCTTTTATTTCATGGAAATACGTTGTCTGTGGGTTTTACTCTAACATCACATGAAAGGATGAGTTATAAGAATATGACAAAGTGAAGGCAAACATTCTATTCTGGAAATCTGATAGAAAGCAAATTACCACAGCAATCCTGCTTTTTATTATTGATATGTTGTAGCACAGACAATTTGCACAGCGCTTTACATAGCACACATTCACATCAGTCGCTCAAGGAGCTTACAACCTAAGGTCCCTATCTCACAAACCTACATGCATGCATACATACAGGGCCAATTTAGACATTAGCCAATTAGCCTTCCACCATGTCTTTTTTGGCGTGTGGGAAGAAACCGGAGTACCCAGAGAGAACCAGAAGCACAGGGAGAACATGCAAACTCCTTGTAGATAGTGTCCTGACAGGGATTTGAACCAGGGCTGCAAGGAAGAAGTGCTAACCACTTATCCACATGCCTGCTGCAGTTGCTGGTTTTATGTAGAGTCCTGGCCAAATGTTTTGAGAATGACACAAATATTAATTTTCACAAAGTCTGCTGCTTCAGTTTGTATGATGGCAATTTGCATATACTCCCGAATGTTATGAGGAGTGATCAGATCAATTGCAAAGTCCCTCTGTGCCATGAAACTGAACTTAATCCCCAAAAAACCATTTCCACTGCATGCCAGCCTTGCCACAAAAGGACCAGCTGACATGTCAGTGATTCTCTCGTTAGCACAGGTCTCAGTGTTGACAAGGACAAGGCTGGAGACTACTCTGCCATGCTGATTGAGTTAGAATAACAGACTGGAAGCTTTAAAAGGAGGGTGGTGCTTGAAACCATTGTTCTTCCTCTGTTAACCATGGTTACCTGCAAGGAAACACGTGCAGTCATCATTGCTTTGCACAAAAAGGGTTTCACATGCAAGGATATTGCTGCTACTAAGGTTGCACCTAAATCAATCATTTATCAGAACTTCAAGGAGAGAGGTTCAATTGTTGTGTAGAAGGCTCCAGGGCAGCCAAGAAAGTCCAGCAAGCGCCAGGACCGTCTCCTAAAGTTGATTCAGCTGCGGGATCGGGGCACCACCAGTGCAGAGCTCGCTCCAGTCATGGCAGGTGTGAGTGCATCTGCACACACAGTGAGGCATAGACTTTTGGAGGATGGCCTGGTGTCAAGAAGGGCAGCAAAGAAGCCACTTCGCTCTAGTAAAAACATCAGGAACAGACTGATATTCTGAAAATGATACAGGGATTAGACTGAGGACTGGGGTAAAGTCATTTTCTCTAATAAATCCCCTTTCCAATTGTTTGGGGCATCCAGAAAATACCTTGTCCGGAGAAGAAAAGGTGAGCGCTACCATCAGTCCTGTGTCATGCCAACAGTAAAGCATCCTGAGACCATTCATTTGTGGGGTTGCTTCCCAGCCAAGGAAGTGGCTGGGAAGCAACCCCAGTGTTTTTGCAGCTATCGTAAAATATGGCATTTCTCTGAACAGTGCTGTGGTTCATTTCACATAATCTTGCTTTCATGCAAAGTCCTCTGTACCCAGATCTGTAATACCATGGAAAAAAAAAAGCTTCATTTTGCACAAGGTAAATGAAAACGTGTGCAAGGATCAGAAACGTGTTTAAACTAAATAGTGACAGTTCAAAGCCAATTCATAACTCCCAAGCATTGTCCACAGCATATTCTGACAGTGTAATCCATTGCATGCCAGATAGCTCAAGTCCAAAGAGCAGAGGTAATCAGACTTCTCCAGTATAGAAGAAAAAATGTGTTCTTTACAAGGACATTTAGACAGCATCACAATCATAAAGGAAGAGGAAACAAGATTAGAAGAACAAGAAGCCTGGTTCTCTAATGTTACCACTTCACTGAATCACAGCTCCTAATTTTCCTACGTGCACAGTTATACTTCACATTACCATAGTAGCCAGAATTTCCGAACTGTATAACAAGTGTGTAAGTCAGACTTTCTCAATCAGGGTGCCTTCATGCTTTCATGGTGCACAGTGTCATGCTTTTTCATAGAACAGGTAAGCTATACAGTAGCATGATGGAAACACATGGCACTATTTTAGGGTAGGCAGCATCTAGGACCTTCCCCCAGCATTCAGAAGAGGACAGAGGTCTACCTCCATCCAGACCTGCTCCACGTCCTGCCATGCTGCCCGCTGTGGTGAAGATTAAAGGTAGGATGTGAAGGGGGGCTCTAATGTAAAGGAAAGAAGGCCACATGTTTTTATTTTTGTTTTGTTTTTTTCATGGGCCCCCCTTCATTATCAAATCCCTATCTACAATAAGGATCTAGTATAGATTTTGGGAGAACTCGCATGTCATTTTTTTTTCTTTTCTATTTTTGACATTTTAGACTAGGGTGCCTCATGACTTTAAATACCTATAAAGGGTGCTGTGACTGGAAAAAGGTTGGGAAACGCTGGTTTAAGTTATGTTCTTGCAAGCTGCGGCAGAAATAGGTGTAAAAATCAGAAGTATTAAATATTATACATTTATGAAGTTTTATAATAAATACATATTTGGGTTAAATTGTGGTTTAATTATATCTGCCAACATTTGTATGTCATCATGGAACCCAACTCAATTTTTGGCATCTAACAGATGCATGTGCCACAGGCAGGGTACAGTAAATAAAACTTTGCTAGGAGAAGGCTGTACAACAGAATGATCAGGTGTCTGCTCCTACATTCACAATGCTCTCCTGCATCCCCAGTCTGCTGCTAGAACCCAGCAAGTATGTTCACCAAATACAGATTTTGTGACGGTTGGTTTGCTTAGCTTCTAGGCATAGTGTTCCTGATATTGCTGAGGCTGCTCAAGCATTGTGAAATGTGGGAGTGGCTTTATGTGCTACACATGCTGAAGTTTGAGGTTGTTCTTGGGGCTCCATTTATGGATCAGACAGACAGGGTGTTTGAATGCAGACACCTTGGGGTTGATTTACTAAAGACAAATGGGCTGTACACTCTGCAAGGGAATGTTTCCTTAGTTTAGTAAATGTGATGATTATTTACTTTGCAAATAATACCCAATCATGTGCAAGGGAAAAACATGTTCTTGACTGTATGATGGAAGTCTGCAGAGCTTTACCTCTTTCACAAAGCTAAGTAAAAATTCCCTTGCAAAGCGAACAGCCTATTTACCTTTAATAAATGAACCCAACTATGACTCCTGTGTGCCAGTGTTTAGAATTGAATCTTCTGCAATTCTTTGCTAAGCACAGTGTTTTATCACGTTATATGTAAAACTGAAGAGGGTGGGTAAAACCAAGTTTTAGATTTAAGCAAACAATGCATTGTAAAATAACTTTACCATACATAACACAAACCATTTTATTAAAAAAAAAAGGCATCCACATATGGAAGAAAACATCTGCATAATATGTAAATGTAAGGTACATTGTTTACATTTAAATTTTTTCACCAGTGCCCCTTTATTTGAACAGTTCACTGTATATTCAGACTGCAGGTAATGGCAATCTACACTTCCATTGGTAGCAAAGACATAAAGCTAACTAAAGCTTAAACATTAGGAAAGCTAGATTAATATAAAAGATACCAATGTCATTTGTAGACTTTTTTTAAATAAAATTAGTTTTGTCTAAAATTGGTATTACACCCAGTTCCTACACAAACTGTTTTCTAATTTAATGGTGAACGTAGCAGATATCAATCATTTTCACTCACCAGACTGATGCAATACCAACCCGTTTAGCCATCTGATCAGTTGAAACAATTTGATCCAAATAATCATGTGAAAGCTGGTCAAGCATAAGAGTTTCATCTTCCATGGGGCCTTAACAAAAGGACTATACATCTAAAGGGATGCTGAATATACCGTGTTTCTGGGGCAGATCATACAACTATAGTAGAAAGATATTTTCAGAAACACATGGGCACTATCTCATCTACAAAATAAAAGCAGGAAAGGATCCACACTAAAGTTTGCTGGAATTCCTTCAACTGATATATTTGACCTGGGTTTTTGCCTCCACAAAACTGACAGAAGAATTGAGAGAGTAAAATGCACTATTCTCAATACTTAAAGCCAGCACGGCACACTGCAAGTGTCACATGCTGGTATTATAGATCGAGAGCTGAGCGATCATGAACTGCTGATCACTCAGTTCATAGTCCTCTCCCTGCAGAGAGGGATGACTGTCCGTTACTGCTCCTACTCCCCTCTCTGTTTATCCAGAGCTCATTTGAGGGACAGATAGGGGAGGAGGTGGGCACAGCTGGCTCTGGCTCTAGAGAGGCAGACCCAGCTGTCAATCAGGCAGTGGGGTGGATCCCAACAATATTGCCAGGATCTTTCCCAGCTGTAGCACAGCTCTGTGCTGTCAGCATATAGTGGGTAGTATCCTGTTAGATGCTGACTTTGGGTCACAGGAGTACATTAGTAAATGTATTCCTGTGAACCAAAAGAGCACTAAAGCCCCAAAAAAGTTCCTATCCCTCACCCTATTGCTACTGTCTAACTGTACCATTTACAATGCTCAAATATCTAGTTGTTGGCTTCACTAAGCTCCCTTCAGGGACACACTGCATGCTGCTTCCTTGATACTTTTTGTGTGAACTTATTGGCAAGCCCAGTACCATTACAGCAGCAGCAGCAGTGAATCACTGGTAGCTGGGCAGACCAACATGTAAGTATTCAAGGGTCTTAGTGCTACTTTTAGGTAGGCAGAAGTAAAGGTGAACTTTTAGATCTTTTAATCTGCTGTGACTGACGTGAGAGCAAAGTAGTGTGAGTAGCCTGTAGGTCAGGATAAAGTAAAATACCAAATGAATGATCTTATTTAGGATACACACAGCAAGTACAGCCTCCAGCTGCTAGTATGTGGAAAGAACTGCCACAATGGTTTGCATTGATATGGCAGTCCATTTTCTTCAGTAGCTCTACTGGAATATTCCTGAACCTTAATAAACTGAGGTAGATTTGAAAAATGTTTATGAAAATATATTCTTAGGATTGGACTTCCTGTAACATACATTGGCAGTGTTAACTTCAATATTACAATAATAAAACTATCTGGCAAAATGAATGTCATTAGTTTGGACACTAAAATATTTTTGATCTCTTTAAGCGCATCACACCCTAAAATGCAAAGTTTGCTTATTCATTAGCTGACCACCCCCATGCAAAATTGATGCATTTCCCTCTTACTTACCTTACACTGGCTTCCACACTGGAGCGAGTAACATCACAATCCTGGCAAAAATGCATCCCAAATCTCGCTAGAAGGATCATGACGTCACCCGTGCCAAGGCGCTGTGGGCAGAAGCTGAGTGTATGGCAGGTATATATTTACTTTTTTCTTCATAGATGTTTCCTATGCATGGGGTGTAACTATTTTGAATGGGGAGGGGGGATTTAATATTGAGAAAGTGGATCTTGCCTTTTAGTGCAAGATCCACTTTAACTGGCATACAAGAATAAATATTACCTTTTTTCCCCATTATAAAGCCTTTCCATGGACAGACCCTATTTACCTGGAAGGATTCATTACAGGAGTGGGGGAAAGAGTTTAGTAATATTTAGCATTTTGATGGGGTAGCACAGTATACAGTCTTACGTTATGTATGCTGCAGTTATTGCAGTATGGAAAATGTGTTTTATTATGGAATTACAATAAAGGGGATATATATTACATAAACATCTGTAGATGATTTTACTCATATTGCAAAATATTCTCGTTTCTTTTATGTACTGTGTAACTTAATCTTTTGGATTATTGAAACTGAACAACAAAGTACAGAGAACCTTTTTCTTCATAATAAACACTAGAAATGTAATCGCAGGTGTCATAGGGGCATATTTGTAAAGCAGTGAATGTAAAATTTTACTGCAGGTGAATCAATCACTGTGATTTAATACACATGCACCTGTAGTAACTGTTAGGTGAATGTCACATTCACTGCTTTATAAATATACAGCTAAATAGTGTTAATGGGCCCCGCAAGAGTTTGCTTTTTCTTGTAATTTTTGCTAATAATTACCTATTTAAGTATTTGTTACAAAGTGGACAGGATATAACATCAGACGTCCCTCTTCCCACGCGTAGAGTTTTTTATCTTTAGGGTTGTAGGACAGCATGGCGAGAACAGACATTGATGATCTCAAGTCAAAGCTAGCATTAACTGGCTTCTGTTTTAAGAGATCGAAAGCGAAGGTCACCCTTAAATCCTTTGTATCTGTCACATAGAGAATTCCACATGTGATAAAAGCATTGCCAGCTTTGGACTTTGGATATGTCGTGTTGATATGCTGAGTGACAGAGAAAGTTTTGCCATCTAAGTGAGCAACCATAATGCTTCTATCCACTTCAGAAGAGTAGATAATCCAGAGATCTTTCTCATCTGCTGCCAATTTAAAATAAGACTTGGAATTTGAGAAGAGGTAACTGCGATTGTGGTATGCGGCATTGTCAATACTTAGTGTTTCAAAGGATTCAGTCTCTAGTTCATACCTGAAAACAGAAGAAAAATCAAAAGAATTCCTGTTAAACTCTCATCCTATTCTATATCCTCTTACATAATAAAATGAATGTAATGGACTTAAACTTTTTTTGTACTGGTGATGATGATTTGCAGGCCTTATTAGATGCTCATGTCACATCATGATTCTTAACCGTGATTCTATGCTCACAACACATGATGATTCTCAGCCCTGAGCAGCTGCTCACAGCACATGATTCTCAGCCCTGATCAGATGCTCACAGCACATGATGATTCTTAGCCCTGATTAGATGCTCACAGCACATAATGATTCTCAACCTTGACCAACTAATCATAGCACATCATCATTCTCAGCCCTGACCAGCTGATCGCAGCACATCATAATGCTCAGTGCTGATTAGATGCACACAGCACATGATGATTCTCAGCCTTGACCACTGCTTAGAGCACATCATCATTCTTAGCCCTGATTAGATGTTCACACACAGCACATCATGATTTTCAGCCGTGATTAGATTCTCACAGCACATGAATCTCAGCCATGACCAGCTGCTCACAGCACATGATGATTCTCAGCCCTGATTAGATGCTCAAAGCACATGATTCTCAGCCCTGATTAGATGATTTTCAGCCCTGACCGGCTGCTCACAGCACATGATGATTCTTGGCCCTGATTAGATGCTCAAAGCACATCATGATTCTCAGCCGTGATTAGATGCTCACAGTACATGATTCTTAACCTTGACCAACTGCTCAGTGCACATGAAAATTCTCAGCCCTGTCTAGCTGCTCACAAGATGTCAGTTTCAGTCATTTTCCCTGTGTGATATAAAGAGATAATGTAACGTTCTTTTTCACTTCTTAAAATTCTGCAATATGTAATAAACATAGCAGGAAAGCATATACTGCTCCTCTCAATTCCAAACATTTTGCACTGCAACACTGACAGGTCACTAGCACACACATTCCTCCCTTAGTAATGGCTTTGTCCTGGTAGAGATATCATTTTATCATCAGTTTCTCTGTCTCGACTTATCCACAGTGCTAAACTCTCCATTTGCGGCAGCTTACAAGCTAGCTTCTGTCCACTTCACCCACACTGCAATTGGTAGCTTTGGCTCACTTTTTGCAGTTAGTTCTCCAGCACCCCCCAGTTACAATATCATCTTTGACACCTTGCCCTCAGTGTCCAAACTACATTCTCTGGCAGCCCCCCACCATCCACAATATATTTTCTAGTAACCCCACCTCACACGCTGCCTTTGACACAATGTTTTCTGGCAGCTGTCCACCCACCATCCACACTATGTTCTCTGGCAGCTCTCTCACCCATGGCCCACACTACATTATCTTGGGGTTCTCCCTCCGTTACCTATACTACATTCTCTGGCAGTCCTCCCCCACCATATAACAGTATATACTCTGACACATTTCCCACCAATATCCACACAACATTCTCTGGCAGCTCCCCTAGCCCCCACTATGTTTGTTTACAGCTCCTTCTCTTACCCATACTACATTTTCTGACCGCTCTCCCTCTATCATCCATGCTGTGTTCTCTGTCAGCTTCCCCCAATGCATGTATCCCCCAATTACATTTTGTTATTTGGCGCTCCCCCTCTGTTTCACTCATTCTCGTGTAGCTCTCTCCTTGTCATCCATACAGTGGCATCACAAGGGGGGTGCGGCCTTTTCACCCCCTCTGAAAAGTCGGGCACTCAGTCATTGACCGAGAGCCCGACAGTGTCTGGAGAGAGGAGGGGACCCGGCGGCATACCTCATCCGACGGTGTACTCCCATAGAAAAAAACAGGTTGCTGCATACAATCACACGCAGCACCTGTCCTTTCTGGGAGTGGCCCGATACGACCATGCCTGCCGCACGGATCTGTACGGGCCGGCTCTTAGCAGTGTGAATGAGGCCTTACTGCACTAAAAGATGGATAGTAAATGGCTATTAGGCCTCATTCACACTGCCGTATAATACGCTGCGCATAGATGCGCGCAGCGTTTTTTCCCATATGCAACCTATGCAAATAAATGGCTCCATACACATAGCCGAGTATGGAGCCATATTTTTGTGCTGCGTAAAGATGCGCAAAAACAAAATGGAACTGAGATGCGTCTGGGCTTGGAATTTCTGCATAATTTCTGCGTATGCGCATACAGTACATTAAAGATTCTATTAAAAATGATGCATTCTGGGATTGCATACAATTCCCGCATATACACACAAATATGCGACTATAAGCATTTACAAATATGCATACAATTTTTCTCTTGCGTTGTGTGTGAATGAGGCCTTAAGGGAAAGATCATTTTTTTCTTTTAGACACTAATGAATCCTAGTCCCAGTATAATTCTGAATCAGATTATTTGTTGTGCGGCAATACAGACAGACAGTCTAGTATGCTAATATAGGCCAATGAAAGTATATTACCTTACAATTTTGTTGGACCCTCCTTTGTGATAGTACAGTAATTTGTCATACACTAGATGCCCACAGCCGTGATAGAACCAGCGGAGTTTCATCGTTTTATAGCTATCATTTTGTAAAGCCGTTACATTTTCATATTCTTTCATTATTAATCCTGCATGAAGAGACAAACATAAAATATTTAGCAAATTCAAATGGGAAAAACAGTTGGGACATACAAAAGACACCAATTCTACTTGGCATCCAGCCTCCACTATGTGCATATTCCTGCTATATATGCATTTAAAGTCGTCTCCTTGTTTTCAAACAATACTTTTCAGCTGTCAAGATTCTGCCTAGGGAGAGCATTTTCAAGAACTTAAATAATCCAAAATATTTATTTTTATCTAAGCAATAATACAAACCAAATACTTTTTATGGCTTGCTGTACTGGAAATCATTGTAGGATTGCAAAGCACTGGGTGTCGTAGTCTTCCTCATTGCACCGGAGCCTTGTAGACTTGAAATTATTTCCACTGCAGTTAGCGACTGTATTACTTTTGGAAAAACTACTATTCCAGATTAGTGTATACATCAGAGCCTCACTTTCAAAACAATGAGCCTAAAGAAATTGACTGAAATCCCTGCACCTTTCTTTTGTCCACAGTGGTCATTATATTTGACTGAATTAAAGCAAAACTCTGGATACACACCCAGTAATACCTAATCCACATTCCATAATAAACAACAACCCAATCCTCTGATCTTCAGGTATGGAATATGGGTGGGTACTTCTAGCAGCGCCCACATCCCATCCTGATGATGTGGTTCTGCGTTGATTGCAGTGCTGGCGTGATGATGACTTCAAGAGGGGTGGCAACAAGGCCAGTCCAAGACCGGCATGGCCTGTGGCTTTAACAGGCCAACTTTCAAAAACAGAATTGGCTGAGCGGAAGATTGTGGGATTGCAAATTAAGGTATAGTCGTATTATCGGATATTATTGCTGGTTTCGTGGCTGCTGATACTCTTGTTTTAATACTCTCAAGGATGTGAAACATGAATGCATATTAGGAAAGTCAGAAATCATTATCTACATATTTGTTAAGTCTAATGACTTATTGAAGCAAGATCATTAGCATGGCAGCCAGACAGGAAACATTTGGTCAGCAATGAAAGCCTCCTTGTTTCTCTCAGGAAAGGTTTTCAGTCTTCAATCACTATAAGTAGTGCAAACACAAGTCAGGGTAGATATCTAAAATGCATTCTGTGATATGCCTTAGTTTCCAATAATAGCCACAGTGGGAAGGTTGTGCAAGGCCGCCAGGACTGGATCACCAGATGTAACCATGAATCAAGAGTGTTAAAGTGTATGTCCAGGCTTTACGCAAACCTTCCTCTCCTCTTGAAGAGCATGCCTTTGCATTATTTTTTGTTTATATGGTTCCTGTAGGGTGAAATAGCTTTTATTACTCTCAGCGACATTGTTACAGCTGCTAAAAGCTCAGTTCCTAATGATATAGGCAAGCCCCCAGAACTGCATCTCAAAGGGCCAATCACTAGCGCACATTGTCCAGGCAGGCTCATGGTAGCCAATGCAGCAACATTGTTTTGGTGATAAAGAAATTACCATATGCATGTGGAGTGGACAGAAAGGTTGGGATAGGTAGGGCTAACAATCCTGGCTGGGATTTCAGTGCAGTAGAGGAAAGATTTCACCCTAATAGTAAGTTAGGAGCACAGTATACACAGTCCACCACTGAATTTTATTAGTGGAAAGGGGCTTCATTTACAATGCTGACTCAAACACTGCAAAAAAACCATAACATCCCTGCATCCCTGTTAAATACAGGATTATTAATAATACATGATTATTACATTTACATGAAAGGTTTGTACTATGGCATATAAACCAGGAGTACTTCTAATATATTATATCCTCATACAGAATATTAGAGTGTGTGTATTATACACCGTACCTTTCAGAAATCCTTAAATAGTCCAGGGGACTGCGCATATGTAAGTGACTTAATTATTAGATCTTCTACCTGAAAAATGTGCTGCAATCCAGATTCGGTCATCAATAATCCAGGTGGAGAAATCCATCATCCACGCGCCAAATGTCTCCTGTGCTTTTGCAACAGTTGTTGGGCTATCAATTGCCTTTATAGTACAGTCTGCTGAGGGGACATATAAAACTACAATAAAGAGGTGCAATATATCCAAATATATTTCTATTGATATAAAAATCTGGCATACCTTCTTGCTTTAGAGGTTGGTCATTGCTTTTTCCATTTGATTTTCCCTCCATCGTATCATCATTAGGAATTGAACAGGACTCTCCTGACAACAGAACAGTTAAAAAAAAAGGAAAACTATAATGGGTAGTTATAAAGGTTTTTTTTTTTTTTTTTTTTTATCCTTTAAACTGATATATATTTTTTTACTATTTAAAATCTTTGTTTTACAAATACACATTTAATACAGGGGGCATCCATCCCAATGGAGCCTTATGGGTTTTCTAAAGAAATAACACAGCAGAAGCTGTTTACTTTCAGAGTCTTTCTTTAATTGAAATTCTATGTGGTCCTGTCTGAACAGAACAGAACGGTATAGTGGATGTGACGTGCCCTTGGCTCATTCACTTGTGTTTAAATTTTACTTAGAGCTGTTGACTTCTGTAAACAACAGGTTTTTTTTTTTTTAAACATAGTTGATAAAAAATAGACAGGATAATGCATGAAAAGGAGAGTTAGAGTAGAGCTAGCGTTTACATAGATAAAAATGAAATATTCACATGCAATATTTTACATTTATCTCAATAACAAAACAAATATTTTTATTTTATAAAGATATCATTATTTTTAGTTTTTATAAAAATAAATAAATAGATAAATAAAGAAAATAAATATTATACATTTTGTTTTCATGAATACATTGTTAGAAATTTATATAGAAACAGAGATAGAATATTGTGTCAAATAGTATGCATTGGGCCCTCCCTCTGTATTTATAGCTATTAAGTGGAAGTTAGTAGGTTACTTTGTATCTCAGGCAGCACTGCAGAACTTTAAATTCAATATCTGCTTCTAATTGTTTGATTGAAACATGTACTGTGTTTTCATGGATGGAAACACAGTGTACTGTAGATCTGCCTATTCTTGCGATCTAAGGCAGTGGAGGGTTTCTTTGATGGTAAACAATCAAAGGGAAATGTTGATGCAAGGCCCAGGTCACTTATTGACTCTATACAGGCTCTTTAGCTTGCAATGACATCTGCTGATATAGTATTTACATCAGCAAAAGCAAAAGGGAGGACCTTGGGGCACTAAATCCTCAGTTTTGAAAGGTAAGTACAGGCATTCTGAACCTAAATGGGACTAATAGTTTTTAGGTGTACGTAAAGTAATGTCAGTTATTGTTATAATGCCTTCATTGTTATATTCACTAAAAGCAATTATAATATCAGGATAATAAAATATGATTAGAGGATACTAAACAATTAGCTACACGTATATGGCAAATATTTTATAGTTGCACAGTTCCAAATTCTGGATATGGTTTCTGGATTATTTCTCAGTACAGATATAGGTTTTAAACATGTTGTGGTGCTTATTTTGGCATGTTCTAGGAAACTGCCTTATGCTTCCTAGCACGTTCACTTAGAGCTAGTTTAGGGGTACATCTAACATAGAGATAAAACCTCTTTAAAATGCTAATATGCACAGTATGCCATTCGAGCTGCCTAACAAGGCATAGCAAGGGAAATAAAGATGACTCTCAAGACTTTATCATTTCGAGTGAAAGTCAAGGACAATGACATCAAGTCCTCTCAAGTCATCAGTGTATATTTGGGTTTGGGGAATTTTATCAAAATGAACTTACATAACACACTAGTAAAGTTAACTATGGAATTAATCTTCTCCAGTATTTATATAGATGATTATATTTGCTATTATTTTGTTGTACCCATAAATATTTAGAGTTGTTTAATTGTTAAAATTAACATTTTACTATATTAAGTTATAGATTGTTAATATTTCACTTTATACTTGTTTGCAACTGCTGTTAAAATGCCGTATGTAAAAGTTCCAGTGCTTACGGGGAAGGAAGAGTACTTTTAAGGCTGGATTTACACTTTTGCTATGCAGTAACCTTTTATCAGACATTGACAAACAGACATTAACACACGGTGACAAACAAACTATGGTGCAGTGTGTTGTGGTCCTATTCATTTTATATATGCAGTTCCCATCGCACTCCTTACCGGACTCCCCTTACATCAAGAGGTGGGTGCTGAAGTGACCGTGGATGGTGCCGCATAAATCACATAGGAAAACAGGAACGTCACCAGCACACCTTGGTAATGTGTCCAAAAGTAAATTTTCTTTTATTGGTGCATATTGTCACATGTACAGCACAACGTTTCAGGGCACGTTTCGGGGCACGCAGGTTTCGGGGCACGCAGGTTCCCGTTCATTTAATGCATTTGTCTCACAATTGAAAAGCATGTTACTGGGACAGTATTTAATCCCATTCTGTCAGAATGTGAGATTTCCTTCCTGTGCTTGTAACTGTAAATGATCAAAAAATGTCTACATTTGTTTACACTAAACCGACGGATAGAAGCACACTTCTACATTATCAAAGTGCACATGCACAGCATTTGTTTCATAAACTCCCTGTTTTCCTATGCTACTCATTTTATATGGCACCCTGACACATTCCCTACCAATCACAACTTTTGCTTTACACAACCCAGTACACAGATTTGAGCCATCGAGTGGTGCACTGAAGAACAAAAAAGGTGAAGATCCATTAGGGTCTTTGTTAATAGGCTTTTGTTCACATCTGACGGGTTTTCCATTCCCATACAAGTCTGTGGGAATGTAAAACCCTTACGAAGCAGGTCAAATGCAAGTCAAAAGGAGATCAAAGGCAGGTAAAATGCACCGTCAGTAAATTGTGAAGTATCCAAAGCCCCTGTGAATTACAAATTAACCCTTTAGTGCCCCCCTAGTTTAAAAAATAATAATTTAAACAATTTTTAAAAGTCTAAGAAAAGGAAAAAAGGGAAAAAAGTAAAACAAAAAAATATGTTCAATAAAAAAATGGCATGTTCTAGGAAACTGCCTTATGCTTCCTAGCACGTTCACTTAGAGCTAGTTTAAGGGATACATCTAACATAGAGAAAAAACCTATTTAAGAAGATATAGTACAGAGGAGGCTATTAAAGTTAGGAGACAAACATACCACATTCTAAAATTGTTCCACACTCCTTGTATTTTGTGATCTATTACTCCCAAAATAAACTGAAATCCCAGACATATGATATACACTACAAATAAGGACAAATATAAAAATGTAATATTAATTACTTTCTGTTAGCTACGCTAATTAGTACACATTTTTGTTGCCATTTAATTGCCACTGTGAAAATGTGTTTCTTTTTCCATTTTTTGTATTTTTTTATTAAAAAAATAAGAATTCATATATGTCACATCAAATTAAATCCCATTTTGTCCTTTAAAAAAGCGGTATACGATATGTGTAGGTGTAATGCATGAGGAAGATTGAAATTATGGTTAAACACACTCATAGCAAAAATTGACAAAATTGCTCCGTCCCCAGGAACTAAAACATTTTCTGAAGCTGTGTCACTAAGGGGCACTCCACAAAGCTGTTGTTTTTGCTTAGAACCTCTTCTCAGCCTAAAAAGGTTGATTACTTGTAACATCATGCCTTATACATCCACATAGTAAATTATGGTATAGTAAAAAGAAGTTTATGTAAAATGTCGAGCTAACATTTTTCTCTACCACAACTGGATCTGAAAACAACTATGTTACAGAAAACAAAAGAAGACTACGAAAAATGTCTTGGAAGAACGTTAGGGAGTTTTTGATACAAATCCTACTTCAAAAGATGACATTCTTACCTGTGCATTTACTGCTGAAAGTCTGTGCGAGTTTCTCAGACTTGACTTTTTTCCTTCCTGGTGGACCCACAGGTCCTGGAGGACCAGGAGGACCTGGTGGCCCAGGAGGTCCCATTTCCCCTTTCATACCTGCAGATATGTGGAAAAATAATCCAAACATTGCACTATTAGTTATTTAAATTTACTTTCTTTTTATTTGAGTTTGTTTTAAGAGAACAGTGGATTACATAACAAAAAATTTCAGTTACGGGTAATCCATTGACAAAAACATGATAGCATGTAGTATACAGTATTGAAAGAATGAGAATGGTACAAAGAAAGCAAAACAGTAACTTGTTTGGAATGACAAGAATATGATGTTAGACATAATGATTGATAAACATGAGTGAAGTAGACTAAATCAGAAGAAAATAAAGAAATATATTACAGGTGAAACTCGAATAATTAGAATATCGTGCAAAGTTCATTTATTTCACTAATGCAACTTAAAAGGTGAAACTAATATATGAGATAGACTCATTACATGCAAAGCAAGATAGTTCAAGCCGTGATTTGTCATAATTGTGATGATTATGGCTTACAGCTCATGAAAACCCCAAGAACCCCAAATCCACAACCTCAAAAAAGTAGATTATTACATGCAATCAATAAAACAAGGATTGTACATAGAACAATATCGGACCTCTGAAAAGTACAAGCATGCATATGTACTCAGTACTTGGTTTGGGCCCCTTTTGCAGAACTTACTGCAATTACTTTTGCACGATATTCGAATTATTCGAATTTTGACCGAGTTTGCATTTGGAACAAAACTAAATTTACATGTCTACTCTTGAGTGGAGATAGAACAAAGGGAATTTTTTATGTTGGTAGTTTTATTAGTCTATAGTGATTCACTGAAATCTGTTTCCCAAGCCAGCATGTACGTTGTCTTTTAGGATTGGTGTGTGGAGGTAGGATGATAACAGATGGATGTTATAGCTATAAATTAGTGCATATGGCTTTGACTATTGTAGGTGTGGTCACTGGGGAGTGTGAGGTAAGGCAAGTGAAAAAGTGTTTTATTTATAAAAAGCAGAATCACTCAGAGTCTGGGATAGAATAGTGGGATTGGAGATAGTCAAAAGATATTAAGTTATTGGATCTGAAAAGATTCTAGGAGTAGTTAGGGAATTTTTTGACCAACACCAAAATGCCAGTGGACTGTGGGCTTATGGGAAATCTGGAATTCCCAGAAAGATCCTAAAGATCTTCCCAGCCAATAGGCATTGAGCTGGCTGTTTGGTCAGCTCGATGTTGATTGGCCCGGGAAGCCGGCTTCCCAGCCAATCAGCATCGAGCCTGCTTCCCGGCCAGTCAGGGAGCCGGGTCATTACAACTCCATATTCCCACAGGGAAATCTCCCTCTGACTGGAAGTTCCGGTATCAGGGAAGGTATCCGAGCATTTGGGTGAGTTGGAGTACTTGCACAAATACTTGGTATCGGCACTGATAACGATACATGTATCGGTATCGGTGCATCCCTACTGTATATGGATTTTTAAGAATATTCTTATGATGCTTATTCTTATGTTTTATTGTCTTCTTTAGCCCTCATGAAGGGGGAAAATTGTAGCCCCCGAAACGCTGGCTATCTACTTTACTATCTATTTTACTGTTTATCACTTGAGTGATTAAAAGATTTTGGACTTCTCTTGGTCTGGCACTCTCATTCTATCTGTTATATATTAGCAGACTAGATTGTCTGCTTTATGGGTCCAAGAGAGCAGCTTTGAAAGGTCAATATCCTGAGTTGGTGCTTGCTATCTTGGAAGTCAGAAATTAGTTTTTTTGGAATATAAATAATTGAAGGGTTGGAAAAAATTTACTTTTTGTTGTGTATTTAGAGACACTGTAGTCATTGTCAGTACAGCAAAGCAGTATTATAGCAGTGAAGGTAAATAGTACATGTGTTAACATTAAACATTAGTATGATTGGTGCCTGGACACTGTAAAGCTTCTGAAGGAAGGACCAAAATTTGGGAAACATTGTAAATTTGTTTGAGGCCCTAACTACAAGCTCGTTTATACCTACAGGTCCCAATACTCTCCATATTTAAATTGCAAACAACAGCATACTTCTACTGCTTCTGGGAAATCCCTTTATTAAAATAATTATATATTCTGAAGCACAGCTGTTATTGGATGCATTAACATTATGGACGTACCTATTACCTATTGATTACTACTATATATACTGTACAATAGCAACCTACCTTCACTAAAGATGTCATTTGAGGTGTCACCTTTGTCTCCTTTCTCACCCTTTTCACCTCGTTTGCCCGGCATGGCATCCTTCCCTGGTAGACCGATTTCACCCAGATCTCCTTTCTCCCCCTTTGAACCAGGTTCCCCATTCATTCCTGCTGGACCTTAAATTGACATAGAAACAGAATGCAAATAAAAATATAACTGCAGATTGTCATTTGTAATATTTCAAGAGCTGCACATATCAGGATATATATGGAAAATATGGGGTAGTGGTGTAAAGTGTTTTTGTGCACTGTTTATACCCTTTTATGCAACCATTTCAAATGATGCAGTGAGGTGCTGCAAAAAAAGGGTGCTTACAAATGTTGCCATGAAACTGATTTGTGTATGTTACCCACAAAGCCGTATGAAAATCAATGTACTTTTTTTATTTTTTCAATTTTGGCATTGGTAATATTCCTCTAAGGTAATGTCTGATTTCCCATTACTTTTTTTCGCAATAGCTTGCTTAGAATACAGATGACCAAAATATACAGTCAAGACTAGCCACCCATTGAATTCAATGCTATATAGATTCATATTTGCCAAACTCCCGATGGGTTGATTAACAACAGATTTGCTTATCCTACCCATGATGTCACAGGACAGGCTACAATACTGCAGGATTAAAGGTATTTATAAAGCAATGATGGGGAGGGTCATCAGGGAGAGGGGTCAGATAGCCACCTTAAAGCGTATATTAGATTTTAGTGATTGGGTTTACATCTAATTTGGAAAATAAATATTCTAAGAATCAGTACGCCACACTTCACATACAAAGCTAATGGGTTTCTGAAGCTGTGCTACATTGTGCCAGAAAACAGCTTTGAGTGTGTGGAAGCCTCACAGCTGTTTAGCAGATCACTTAAAACAACTGACTAGCAGGAGTACAAACAGCGGAATCCCAGCCGGTCAGCAACAGGGTGTTTGCAAGGTTTTTTTACTTTCCATGTGGAAAATCTTTTAAGCCTGGGCTTATGTGGTCAATTCCAGAGCAGTTGTAAGGTTGCAAAATGAGCATTTTTAATAAATTTTTGCACACACATGTTAAAATCTGAATTTTTGGCTAGAAAACTGCCTAAAACACCCAAACAATTATATATTTTCTGAAAGCAGAGGTCCTGTAGAATAAATAAAATGCTAGTTGCAATTTTTTAAGTCGCACAATGCTTGTGCAAATGTTTATCAAATGGATATTTTTAGGGAACAAAAACCACAAAAATGTAATTTAGTGCACACAAACAGAGTATAATAGCCTTTTTGGCTAAAATATAAAAGATTGGGTCATGTTGGGTACATAGATACATGTCAAGCCTCAAAATTGCGGGCGCCCGTTAAATGACAAAAAAACAACAATAGCAAAAATTGCCCATAGAGGACACTTTAAAGGCCTTTTACAGGTCATCTGTTTAGAGGTAACAGTGAGTGATGGTGCTAAAATGATTGCTCTCACTCTGACACTCACGGCAATAAGTAACATGTCTGGCACAATTGTCATTTTCACACATAAGCGCCCCCGACACCTGTTTGTGTTTGTATGTGCATGTACAAAGGGGTAGAGCGCTTCAAAAAGTTTTGGGTTTTATTTTTTATATGTCACTATAATGTTTGAAACTTTTTTACACTCAAGTTCATTGCTATCACATTGGGGGCTAATGATCATTAATCAAGGTGGAAATTGCTGACCACATCAAACTAAACAATCAATTAAAGGAAATGAAACGAAAAATTGTCAATCAGAAGAAAGCAAAGACAGTCAAATGCATCAAACCAGTTGGCAATGCTGTAACAAAGCTCTTGCAGGTGCAAGACCGGCTGTAGCGCCTCAGCACCACATTAGCAAACGTGGAAATAAAGAAAAGCAAGGAGGAGATCATTTAACATCTACAACTCCCAAAGTGCTAATTTTACAGGTTCCATCAAAGAATTGTGCAGGAGTGTCTGGATCTGAGGAAAGCCATTAGAAAAGTAACAGAGCAAATTAATTCCATTGTATTGGAGTGTGAAAATGAGAAGTTGATGAGAAATGCAGAGGAAAAGAAATTCAAAGGCAAATTGGATACCATCAAGAACTATCAAGACACTTGTAAAACACTGATGGCATTAACAGGGAATAAAAGAATTATTATTCCATAATAGATCACTTTACCAAAGGAAAGATCAGGAATTTTACTTTGTTACTATTCAATTTATTCATATAGTTAGGCTTAAACATCAAGGTTCTTGAAGATAATTTTTCCCCTTTGGAGCAAAAAAGCCCACACTTTATACAAGATTTTCGTATTCCTCTGGATCAATGTGCAGTAAACTCAATGGGCCATGTGTCCCTTTTCTCCCTGACCTCTTTGCACACATATTGAATGTACCAGCTCTTCTCATAAACATCTATTTAAATACCAATAAAAACATAAAATGTATATAAGTGTGTTTTTAACTTTAAATCAAGCCTGTAGGAAGTCTTTTAGCTCAGTGATTTTCAGCTTATGATAAGTATATTTACCATGTACCCCTTGCTGTTTTTTTACTGTATTTCAAGGATAATTAGCAAACGTTGGTACTTCAGAATAATGGCATTCTGCCCATGTAATCAGGGCAATCATTGTCATCTCTTCACCTAATACTGGAAAAAAGCTCACCTAAAGCGGGTACATTTACTATGTAAAAAGTTAAATAATGCTCAAGATATGAATCTCCAAATCTTTTTCAGCTCAGTGTGGCTGTATCAGGTAAGGATTTGCCTGCTGCAATAGTGGCTTCATGCTGCAGTTCTGGCAGACAAATTGACAGTCACCAAAATAAGCAGTTACCTAAACCATGGAGAAAAAGGAAGCTCCATAATTCAAAAAACATCAACATTTATTACTATCTGAGTTAAAAACAACACTTGGTCCTCTTTAACTTAGATTTGTAATACATTTCCAAGTTACCTCAATAACAGAAAAGAAACATCTTTAAATCTTGTATACTGGTGCTAATTATGCTGCGCTGTGACAAAAAATGCACTTACGAGATCGTAGACTTAAAATCACATGTAAACGAAAGAGTTCTCAGCTGTAAGAGGCAAAGGCAGGTCTCTCCCTTGACGCGTTTCATCTTCTTGACTTTATCAAAAGGGATGCCTTTTGATAAAGTCAAGAAGACGAACGCGTCAAGGGAGAGACGAAATCTACGATCTCGTAAGTGCATTTTTTTTGTGTCGTGGAAGAATAAACATTTTTTACTGCACTTAGGCGCCCTACCCTTTTTTCTCTTTATCTTTCTCCTTTGAGACATCATAGGGGATACCGCCAATGTGGTGTGATCTGATTGAAAAGGAAGGGGGAAGCTGCGCACGGCTTGCCCATCCATGTGGGACTGGGGCGGCCGAAGAGGCGGCCGATTACTACAATAAGGAGATCGCTGTTGGGATATAATCGTTGTTCATTATGAATACAAACTGAATAGTTTTTTTGGACAAATTGATGCCTTCAAAGAAAGGAAAGTCAATCCATCCTCTTTCTTTCTAAGAAACACCTGTTGGGTGTATGAACAGATATATTGTAGCAGTAGAGATATTGCTATTATGTCATCTTAGTAAAGCCATTTTCTTGTACACCTGATACTTGTCCTGCCACTTATAAGCTTAGCACAGGTATAATATTTGAAGCATCATGCACTAATTAGAGTGGAATCACGGATCTGCACATTTGCATTTATATACGTGCATCAACAGAGGTTTTGATGCTGGGATACAGATTGTAAGTGTTATAGTTTGTATGCACAGATAATTTCACTTAAAAAAATGTTTTCCACCATGTTCACTAGCATGAAGTGAATTTCACTCATCTACTTTGAGAGCTTTTATTCGCTCACACATTGACTGAGCGCAACATAATTAGCACCAGTATACACGATTACAAAATCACAGATTGTTGCAGCTAGTCCATTGTTTACAACACAATTATACTCTTAGCGCAGCTATTGTCATTCTTCTTTAAATCTTGGAACTCTATCTAAGTAGCCTTTGACCAGGAGTAATTGTAGCTCTCAACTGCATGAACTGAACTCCCCAGGTACCCACCCCCCACTCTGTACACAAAAGGAAAAATAATACACATCAGAGGCCCCCTCACTTTCACATGTCCTTTACATCAGAAGCTGCCCTTTAAATCAGGATTCCCCCTTAACATCAGAGTCCTCAGTCCCCCTTCACATCAGGTGTCACCTTTACACCAGAGTCCCCCCTTTAGTTCAGAAGTCCCCCTTTTACATCAGGAGCCACCTTCACGTCAGAGTCCCCCCTTCTCATTAATTTCCCCCTTTTACATCAGAAGCCACCCTTTACATCACGATTCCCCCTTCACATCAGAGCTCTCAGTTCCTGGATCGAGGTGTACTTCTGTTGTCTTCTGAATGCTGGAGGTGGTCCTGGTTAGCGTCTGACCTGGATTAGCATCATATGTTTCCATGTTGCTGCTGTACCATGGAAATGCATGATTCTGTGCAAAAACGTGACCGCACCCCTGAGAAAGTCAGACAGCACCCCAGTGTACCAAGCCACCCCAGTTAAGAAAGGCTTATCTAGTGCGTCATCCTGAACCATTCAGAAAGTAGGAATCCTACATCTATATTAGGTCAAATTCTGGTGCTTCCACTACTTTAATTGGCAACATACACGCAATGATGCAATAATGATTACAGAGCTGCATTCATTTTGGTCTTTTATATCTGCCTAGAATTTAGCTTTAAGCTGGCCATACATATTATAGTTTAATTGTAAATCTTATGGGTTGGATATACATTCATTGTCAATGTACGTCTGTGAAGGTTCTCATTCATCCAGGTCATGGTATATCTGTTTAGAAACAAGTCAAGGCAACTGGACTTGCTGTATTTTTCTTAAAACGTATTCAAGAAAAATACAGCAAGTCCAGTTGCCTTGACTTATTTCTTACAGATATTGTCAATGTACGTTCAATTCAAAGGTCTATTTAGGAATGTCCTAACACAACACAATTCTTGGTATATATAATGAATTTTGCACAGAAATGTAACAATCAAATTGTAATGTGCTTGGCCATCTTTGAGCTTTAATGGAATCAGTTTGTGTTTTATCAAGTTTGGAGAAGCTTGATTTTTGGCGTTATACTGGAAGTTTTCAAGGAAAAAAACCTTAGGTCATGGAGTTTTCTTGTGTCTCTTCTATCAATATACCCTTTCCTCTTCAAGTTATTTTTAAAAATAGTTTAATGAGCGTGGTACAGTATTCACTCATGGCCTATTCCTAGCGTCTGTACGATGTGGAGAATGAACACGGTACAATGTAACTCAAGTTGCTGCCCATTGGACGAAGAGGAGGGATGTGAACCAGAAGAAGAGGTGAAGAGGAGGGATGTGAACCAGAAGAAGAGGTGAAGAAGAGGGTGGTGGATGAATCAACGCCGGACAGTTTTGAACTATCAGCTCTGGAGGAGGGCAAACAGAGAGGGGAGCCTGCCATGATGTGCAAGTATGCTGTGAATACTTGCATATTATGACAAGAGCAGCAAACCTACAGTTCCTCTTCAAGGATTTTAGTTTTCACTACTTGGACTGCATTTTTGTATATTTATATGGCCACTGACCTCCTCTCCATTAAATCCTAATATTTATATAATTTTCAGGGGATGTATCATCGCTTATACTTATTATTATTACCTATTTTTCCTCTCTTTCCAGTATCACCAGGTGTCCCTTTGCTCCCTGGCAATCCAGGCAGACCATCTGTTCCATTGTACCCTGGCATGCCATCCATTCCATCAACACCAGGTAGACCTAAATGTAAAACAGGAATAGAAAGATCAGGTATATAAACACATATTTCATATTTAGATTTGGTTCCAATTTCTGGAGTACACAAAATAAATAAAAGAATAAAGCTAGCCATACACCCCTTAGATATTTCTCATTCAGCCCCGTGGGCTGAAGGAGTGAAATCACTTAATTTCCCCCAAGGAGCCAAATCCCTTAATTTTCCCCGACCACACTAAACAGCATAGATGGAGGAATCTTCACTTGTTGACTATTGTGCTCAGACATCCAGTACCCACAGATGCCTGAATACCCGCACAGTGACTCCATCTGATTTTGACTGAGGAATGGAGGAGCAGCACAAGGAGCCAATCAGATGAACTGCATTGCTCATAGAAGGAGAAAGCTGGGTGACAGAGAGATGAGCTTATCAGTCTGCTGCTTCTCCATCACTTTGCAGGCATGGGGAGGGACAGGACCTGTAAGTGTTACTAAACTGCTACAGAGAAAAATCAAGAAATCTTCTCTGCCTGACAGGGCTGTGCTGTGTGGCAGGACTATGTAAATATTAGGACTAGAAGGATAAAATATAAATCCTTTAGTAGGTAAAAAATATATGTATTTCATTTGTATTGAGCTGTTTGCCTGAAGTTCAGTTTTAGGTTCCTTTAAATAAGAGTTCCAGTTTAATCATGTGCAAACATGCCATCTTGGAACGCTTGGCAATATTAGAAAGTACTCTTACCTAAATAATGTTCTCAACAAACTTAGAGAAATGTAAAATGAAAGTACGGTATATAACATTAATTATAATTAAAACAATTATAAAGGAATGTGATTTCTTACCTGGAGGCCCAGGTGGACCTGTAAAATAAAATAAAAAAGTTGAGGCAATTAAAATTCTGCACACATTTAAATACAGTATAGATAGAAGCAGAGTTCAGTGTAGGTATTTTGAAAACATTCTTTGATTATGGTGATTGAACTGTAGTGGCTGGTGCTGCTACTGGTTCCTCTGTTTCAGCTAATAATGAGAGAGATGGTAGAGCAATGTTGCTGGGAGGTACAGAAAAGAGTCTTATCCTGCGTACTGGTCTCAAGAAGTGGACACTCAGTACCAATCCTTCTCTTTAATATTAATTATCTGTTTGGCACTCTAGAAACAAACATAAAGCACACTTTGATTTCAAAATGTGTTGACTTCTACACTCTCCATCCTCTACTCCTATAAACTTTTTGTCATCAATATCATGGAGACCAACCTGCTAGCACTGAAGAATGGGGCGAGCCTTATTCCCAGACTGAGGCATGAATAACACCTTCTTCTCAACATCTGGGAAAACTTGAGATCCTCACTGTTCTCTTTCACTTCCTCCTTTGACATATGCCCCCATATGGATCAAGGTGATTGTAACAGTGTAGTGAGTCATACCTTGAAGTCTTCCTTGCCCTGCTACAATATAATTTCTGTGAAACAGTTATCCATATTGGCTGGGTGCCTCTTCAAAGAGTCTCAGCTAATGATTTGTTTTGAGCTGACATTGCCTGGGCTCAAAAAACTACAATTATTTTTTTATTACAGGTATCTATGAAGCGCCAATGATTTACACAGCACTTTACATACTGTGCATTCACATTAATCCTTTCCCTAAAGGTGCTTACAATCAAGATTCTCTTAGTCTTATGAGTTGACCACTTTTTCTTTGCAGCACTAAATTTAATAAGTGATTTCGGAATCCCAATACTTTTTGGTCATAGGGAGCATTGCCTTCAAGATTTAACTTGGGAGATGGAAGCCACTTTGTAGCAGAAGTCCTTAGTATTTATTTGTAGTGTTTTTTATTTACTTTTTACATTTTGGGACAGGGGGCCAAGCAAGGATAGAGGAGACTTAGGCAGGCCACTGGTAGTTACACTCACAGTGTTGAAGGCACGTGGCCTGGTAAGGTATAGGACAGGTGGTGTTGCTTGCTGCCCTCCCTTTCCTAGTTATCCAGGCCACATTCTGAATAAGGGGCTAGTTTGGATTTTAGATTGAACCCCACAAAGTGCTTCTCTTTTTTTGTATACTATGTATACTGCCCACTTTAAAATAAAGACATGGGGTCTCACTTTAAATTCATAACAGACCCTTATCAAGGCATTCAGCCTGGGTGGCTAGGAAAAGGAGGGCAGCTAGTTTGTGACACATCTCCTGAACCATACCAGGCCACATGCCTTTAACATTGAGGATGTAACTTGCAAGAGGCGCAGCTTATTTGGTTAATGATGTCACCCAGAATGCCCAGCCTATTTGTTTACAAACATATGTTGGCTGGGAACCTGTCATTTAGCTATGCCACGTTTAAAGGGTTAACTCATAGTGTTTCATAACTTCCTTTATGTATGTTCAATGTTGCCCTTGAACCCGCTTAAAAAAAGACCCTCTCATTGGTGAACATGTTTAAAAACATATTTTTTACCTTGGTAGATGTTCTTCATGGCAGTGTCCAGCTACCCAGACCCCTTTTAACAAAAGCTTGCAAATTAACCTTGAAAAAAAGCCAGAAATAAGCTACAGGATTCCCCTTCCTTAGACTTCTAGTAGGGTTCGACAACATTCTAGCTTCTTTCTGATGGATTGTGCATGCATTTCAGATTTTCAAATATGTGGATACAAATGTAATAGGGAGAGCACAGGCAGTGGACATTCAGAAAATATTGTTTCCTGTGATCTTCAGGGCGCGAGGTGTCTAAACCTCACATAGGACAAGCAGAGAACTATCCCTGAATCTTCTCTGTCCCTGTCATTTCCAATGACACTCCCTACTTAGCCCTTCAAAATGTATCAGATTCTAAGACTGACCTTGCCTGTCTGTATAAGGCCCTTTTCAAGTGGGAGCTTTCAGTTCCGATCTGCAGGGGATCAATGCACAGATCCCCTGCTGATCGTAACGGATGTCACCTCTTATGGTAGAGGAAACAACTGATATAGGACCCATGCTAACCTTTGGGGAATCAGATGTTAATGGACAGCATGGTCCGGTCTGTCAAAATGTAACTCTGATCTGTTTGTTTTTCTGAACCTGACCTAAGTCAGAGGGTAATCAAATGCATGTCTGTATAGATCTGGCTGCCCACAGACTTATATTGGGCTTCTGATCAGGTCTGCCTGAAAAACCAACAGGCGGATGTGATCGGAAAGCCTTTGGGAAAGGGGCCTAACAGTCTATATGTCTGGCACATTATTGTCACCAACACTGCAAAAGGGAGAAATGTTAAGAAAAGTCATACCATTGGTAAACAGATTCCCCTGAAATGCTTTTAGAAGGAATGTGCAGTGGTTTTGTATATATTTTCTTGACATATGTAACCTGCTCATATGTAACCTTTCACAAAATATCATTTTTCAAAAAATATTTTCAATTTTCATCTTAAGTCAGAGAAATGTAAAATAATAATTTAAACACAATTTACCCAAAATCTTAAAACAGTTCCTTTAAATGAAGTCTAAGTCTGATAACAGCCTCTCCAGAGTGGCTGAAGTACACGGAAGAAGACAACAATTAGAATAAGAAGGCATGCAAGGCAGTATGGGAGAGCCTGCTGAATGTCACTGGCATGTTAAATTCCACTAAACTTCTAGCACAAACCATCGGAAGACCAAGAGCAAAAAGTCGCAGCTTGTAACTAGGGATGCACCAATACTGGTTATTTCGGCATAAGTACGAGTACCGATATTTACATTTCGGTACTTGCCGATACCAAGTACTGATACCGGTACTTCTGCTAGCATGGAGCCGGCTTCCCGGTCAATCAGGAAGCCGGGCGGTGAGTCATTACTTGCCGCCCGGCTTCCTGATTGACCGTGAAGGTGGCTCCATGTTCCCTCATGGCACTGCTGATCAGAGGAAATCTCGCTGTAACCGGAAGTTACGGTATCGGGGAAGGTATAGGAGCATTTGGGGCGAGTAAAATGAATGAAACACAGTAAGTGCAATAACCAAATAACACAATATTTTCTTTTATACTTATAATCTACAAATAATGTCTTACATTGTAATCAAATAAAAGAAAACTAAATACCTGTTAGGCAGATTCCTTTTGTACTGTTGCATAAATCTAGCATGACCCGTACCTTAACAATGAGAAATATACATATTGCATGGATTATATATCTTATGGACATAAAAAATATAATTGCTTAAAGTTGAGTTCCAGGCAAATATGAAATACACAAATGAATTCAGCTCTGCAATCATGATTGCATATTTACATATATTTATTTAACTACTTGCTGACCAGGTGTTTACACCCCATTCTTGGCCAGGTAATTTTTCAGTATTCATCGCTGCGGTACTTTGACTGACATTTATTCCGTCATGCAACGCTGTACTGAAATTAATTTTATACCATTTTCTGGGGACAGATAGAGCTTTCTTTTGGAGGTATTTAATCACCACTGGGGTTTTTATTTCTTACTGTATTAAGGAAAAATTACTGACAATTTAGAAATAAAAAGTTATTTTTTTACATTATACGTTATAATACATTTATTATTACCCAATACTTTGGTAAAATATAAGAGACAGGGTCACGTCGGGTAAATAGACACCAAACACGTCAAGCCTTAAAATTGCACGCACCCGCGAAATCTCAAAAAATACCATACCCAAAATTGCGGCGTAATGGGCGCAATCATAGTTTTCGCATGTATACGCACCCGAAGCATGTTTGCATGTGTGTATGTATGGGTGGTGACTTTTTTAAAAAAAATTGTTTTTTTAATTCTTTTTCATGTGTGACTTTAAATTTAGTTTTTGCAACTTTCATTTTTTTTTCCTATTTTTTTTTCATTTAACTTTATTGCTATCACATAGGGGGTTAAGAAACCCCGTATGTGATAGTTAGTTTAGTGTTATCAATGATTAATAGCCCTAGAATTATTGGGAGGGGGGCTGTGGGGGGCGCACACACAGGCACCTTATACAAGTGATCTGCCGGCTCTATAACCGGCGGATCGCTTGTATGTAAACAGGCATCGCTGCCTGTTTTTTCATTTAGGCGCTTTCCCGCTCAAATGGGCATGGCTGGCAGAACGTTTAAATACGCCGCTTAGATCTTGGAAGCTCCCGGCTGGCCGTATTTTTACAACGGCCGGCGGGGAGGTGGTTAAAAGAAAGCAGCGTAAGTACCTGAATTTTACTTGGCACCAACCTCTTTCAGTCCCTATACAGCAAAGCTCAGAGAGAGGGAAGGAAAAGCCGCACAAGGAGCCAATCGGGTGTTTTGCAGTGCGAGGAACATGCTGATAGGTGGAGAGAGCAAAGTGACAGAGAGATAAGCTTTTCAGTGTGCTGCTTCTCCATTCACTGTCTAGTCTTGGGGAGGGGGAGTGGCAAAGAGACATGTAAGAGGAAGTAAAACTATAGCAGAGAAGTTCATGTCCATTCCTTTCTAGTCAGGACTATCAGCTCTCATATATGTATTTAGCTGTTTACCTGGAGTTCAGCTTTAATTACACCAAACAGTAATATACAGTAACTATTTCCTTTTGGGAACACATTAACATTTAAAATAGCAAGAACTCAATGAACCACCTATACAACAAAGTTAGAAAATAAGTAAGGCCAACCCTTTTTATGGCTTTAATTCTCGTTTGTGTCACTGGAATACATTTACTAATGTCCTACTGTGACCCAAATTCAGCATACAGTGGGCTACTGCCAGCTATCTGATGACAGCACCGAGTCATCCTGCAAACAGGAAAGATCCCAACAATATTGTCTCCATCCACCCCGCTGCCTGATTGACAGTTGGCTCTACCTCTCTAGAGCCAGCTGTGCCTGCCCCCTCCCCTGGAGGGGTAACTGATAGTCACTGCTCTCTGCATAGAGAAGACCGTGAGCGATCAGCAGTTACTGTACATGATCACTCAGCCCTCTGTATACAGAACCGGTGTGTGACAGCTGCAGTGTCGCATACCAGCTCTAGGTATTGGGATGGGTACATTTTACTTTCCCAATACTTCTCCCTTAAATTGGCTGAATAACTTACAGTTCTTTTTATTATAAAAGCATTTCAGCTTGAGCACAGCATCTGATAACATTTACTAACATTATTTCCTTCTGCCTAATAAGACTCTTAACTCTGTGCATGGAAGTAAAGATGTCCTGATGTCCATGCCATTTGACTCCAATTTCATTAGACATTGCATTATGGTGCTTAAATTCACTAAATATTTAGACACCACAAGATCCAGCAAATAAATTCCCAGCTTGATGTTTAATAGACTTCCTGCATTGTCATATTTGCTTCTACCAGTAAATGTTCACTGATTTCTGTTCATGTAATGTAAATGTAGTACCTAATCGTGTCAGTTATGTGATTTTTCTGTTGCTATAAAAAAGTCAAGGAATAATACAGCCCTGATTATTGTAATAAAAAGGGGAATGGGAAAATGGAGATAAAGAATCTGCATATTAAAATATTCTATGAAATATTCAAATATTTCACCTTTTATTTCATAGAAAATAAACAAAAATGTAGTTTGCTTGCTATTGGCAAAAGTCTAATGCCACCACTTTAATTTCTTTCATTCTTTTTTTAACCAGCCACAAAGGAATACATCTGATATGATTTTAAAAAAATCCCTTTTCTCTGCTCTGCAGCAGTTGCCTTAGATAATTGAAATCTTTTTGTTATTTTCAGTAAGGCATTGCAGTAACGATGAGCAAAGTCTGTAACTTAAACAACCAATCAGAAATCAACTTTTAGATTACATCTTACTGAGACCTGATCTGTCAGTTTATGACAGTGCATTTTTTGGACCTCTGCAGAGCTTTCCTGGCAAACCCTACTATTATTATTATTATTATGTATTAATCATTTTTATTGCAAATATAGGTAATAATATAATAATGAATGATGAATATTTATTATACAATTATTATTATTATTAGCTTAGTATCAGTAGTAGTCATATTAATATGATATGATAACATGATAATCATGATTTTCAATAAGTTATATGAATGCAATGATGATAAATGTTTTTGTGCTTAGTATTTGTTTTTCTGCTTAGTAAATGTTTTTCTGCTTAGTATTTTAAGATTTCCCCTAGATTACTCTACCGGAACCAGTGAATACGTCATCATCATAAGCATGTCTTCGTTTTCTGCTCGAATGTAAGACTCCTGTGGCCTGTGGCGATGGCTCCGTTTGTTCCTGGAGATGTGAGCTCCTGGTTCTTCATTGTCCTTTGTGGTAACCTCTGATATGAGCTGAGTCAGGTGAGATGTCAGAAGGTCCTCCTGGGATGGTCTTTGATAGGATTCCAGCAATTTGACTCTAGAAGCAATGTCCTGCCACTGCAGAAGAATGAATAAGGTTCCACCTACATTGAGCACTGTGAAAATGATCAGTAGAGCTATGACACCTCTGAGTGCAGCACTACACCTGTCCTTTTCAGAACAAGCCAGTAAAGTCACAGCCCTCTGAGTCCCCATTCCAGTGTTTGAAGTTAAAGCAAGCACTCTCTATGCAGCCTCCTTCTTCCTAATCCTCCAGCAGAAGAACAGTGTCTTCTTCAGGGTACAAAGCACTTTTCATGGGCTGGAGCCTGTTTAAATGTCTTGAGTTGCCGTGGGCTGTTTGACAAAGATTATACTTTGAGATCCAAATTAATGATGTGGAAGTGATGGCAGAGGCGTGTGTGCAGGAACGGCAAGGAGGGGCCCTGTAAGGGAATGGATGGTAGCTTGGAAACAACTGTTAAAAACCTCATCACATTTTAATTGTATGTATCAGCAGTTAGAGAGGAATTGGCAGAAAAGTTCAGTGAGACTTCCTCATTATATGGAAGAATAAAACATGTGGCCCCAAATAAACAAACATGAAATGCAAACAACAGCTTGTTACTGTAAAGAAGAACGATATGGAAAAAAAGGACATTTTCTAGATCATGGATGCTAATCCTGTATAATAATAATAATAATAATAATAAAATACATTAAATACATTTTGTTCCAGCTGTTCCTAGAAGGGTCTGTATTAACTGCAGCACATTATAAAAGAGTGCTTAACCTAAAACAAGAAAGTTACATTCTATGCATTTCATACAAGAACATATGTAATGATATAGGCGTTTTATCGTAGCTGTAAAAAAAATATATATATATTTATTATTTATGTCACCTGCTTAAGAAATTATTACTCATTGTTTTTTCAGCTATCATAGACAAGGATACTACAATAGTTGATGGAGAATATCGCTCCCTAATATGCCACCCTTGTTTTAAAAATCTTGGGGCTGTTTATAAAAAAAAAAAAGCGAAGGTAACATGAGAAAAAAGTTTCCCATGGTGACCTATCAAATGCTTTGTTTTATTTTCCAGGGAATTAAAAAAGAAATATGATGGGCCATCAAGGGCAACGTCTCACTTTTTCCACATTTGTCCTCTCTTTTCTTTTATAAACAGCCTCAAGATGTTTAACACAAGAGTGGCATAGTTGGGAGTGTAGTTTAATACTTGGTCACCATGGGCAACTCTTAATTTTCTAAGCCATTCTGATTGCAATAAACGTTTACTCAGGTTACATATTCATGAATACTGCCACATCTGAGAAATGTGTCAGCCGCTGAGAATCTGGTATAACCAACAGCAAACTTTCTCAAAACTGACTTATTAGATTGCATCTAAAATGAAAGTGTACTTTTTTCCTAAGGTGGCAGGAGGAATAATTATATAAAGGCAGACTTTAACTCAGGCCAGGAATTAGACCCAGGGGCCAGACTAATGTATCATATGTAGGTTTAATACTCTGCTAATGTTATTTTACACTGTATATTAGAAAATTATCATCTGCAAATGTTAGATGCAAATTGTAACTTTTTTTGTTATACAACCAGGAAAATATGAAAATGTGTTTAGATTTTTCATATTCTTACTTCAGTAGATGGAGCTCTAGTCTCCTTTTAACATGTTTTACAGACTACAGGCTTCAGAAGCTTGCTGATTACATATTACGTTAAAAAAAAATACAATTTTAAAATTGACTTTAAACAAGTTTACCTTCCCTTTAATAGATGAACTGATGTTTCGAAATGCAATTACCCACTCCCACACCAGAAATAACAAATCTCTTTTAATGGTATATTTGACAGACCAAAAGGGAGGAAATAACTGAAGTTCCTTGTTAGGACTTAAATACATTTAAACAATATATTATTTAATTCTTCATTTATATTTTGTTCATTGAACAGATCCTCCTTAGCTGATTTCATTCCATGTGCACCAAATTAATCCTTTTTTTATAAAGAGACGTAAACAAAACCCTGTTTCGTGAGTAAACAAATAGGGACATATAAAGGAGTTGCTTTTCCGGCCAAAGTTGTACACAGCTCTGACACTACACAGTCCTGTCATGTCAGGGTAGGAGAATGAGTTTAATCTGCTCCAGTTACCTAACACTTACTGGTCTTGTCCTCTCCCAGCCTTTGACTGGACAATGGAAGGAGAAGCAGCAATCTCATGTGCTCATCTCTCAGTTACTCTGCTCTCTCCTCCTGTTAGTACTTAAACACTACAGGACAGCCGACAGGCTCTTTGTGTTCCTTTTCCCTCTCCCAGTTGGAGCTCTCCTGTACAGTGGATTGTGACATTCTAATATCAGGTCATATTCAGCTATTTACACTTCTTGCATTTAAAAAAATGCATTTAGTGATGTGTTGAGACTGTCACAGGTCGGCTCAGTAGATCGGGAAGTGAGCGAACATATACAGGTGTTCGCTCACTTCTCGATCCTGTCACGGCTCTCTGCAGTGACAGGGGAGGGGCTGGATTCCCCCCAAGGTTTACAAGGACGGGAGCGCCGTCGCCGCGGGCCGGCGTCTCGGCCGTGACGTCACGGCCAGCTCCTCCCCCTGGGCGCGGCGCCTCCTGTTCCTCCTGAACTTTCTCCACGCCTGAACCGCAAGTACTAGGGGATCTTCCCCCACCTGTTGGTAGCCACTTCAAACGATAATATACTTATATACTAGCGATTAACTGTGTGCATTGGTACCAATTGAACATACCATATTGTTGATTATTACGGATTGCGTAACTTAGGCCGCTGGAGATAACCCTTCCATAACCACCGCACTACAAACCTTCCAAAGTGTATTTGTGAACGCCACTTATTAATTCTATCACACCGGGATCATTGTGGATTGGATAGAGGTGATAGAAAACACTTCCCTAATTATCCCTGCAGTGAAAAACTACAACTCACCACTCTCCTCCACTTGAGGCTGATAGTTATATTCCTAATACCTAAACTGTATACCTTTGACCCTCAGCTGCGGCGTCTCAGTATACCATGAGCTGCAGCTCGCGGTATACTGCGTTTAGGGTGACGGGAGAACGCTAGTTTGTGTCCTCCCGTTACCCTAAGGAGAACTATGGGGAAAAGCCCTAACCCCATAGGTATCCTTTAATTTGTGTCTTTTATATCTGCCTGGAGTTCAACATACATTTTATAATAAGAATGCAACTGAGTTTGTGCAGCAACAGGAAGAGTTAATCATGGGGACACTACACACATTATCACAGTCCCCTCATTGTTGTGTCTTGGGGCTGGTCACGTAGGTTGTCTTAATAACAATTGGGGTATTGAGTACATTGGTGATTAATGTAAAAAAATGTTATGACTGATCAGTCTCTATGAAATAATCTGTGACGTATTTGTGTTCTATGTGGGTTTCACTACAATTTACTCTTTTGTCACGTTGACCATTGTTTAAGTTAGCCTGGCATAAATGTGCATGCAAAAGTACTCAATAATGTTCACAGTAAATATTGAAATGTTGGAACTATTGATGGTACATGCAAGGTGTTGATGGGAAAACACTGATTCAAGTTCAAGCTTTAAAAAAAAATTGTTGAATACCATATAGTAGTATTCTAATATCAAACATTTGTTACCATATGTGTGTGCTTAGGATATATTATTTGTTAGGAAAAGGGTTTTCTTGCCCTTTAAAATTGTAACTGTTGGAATTCTAGAACGAATGAATGTTTAAAGTGTATGTATAGCCAAACCTTTTTTGTTATGTTTTTGTTTTGAATAGATTAAGAAAAGGTTAAACCCCTATCAGATTATTTTCGCTTGCTTTCTCCTGCTGGGGAGATTTTGCTCCACTTGCTTTGACAGGCGGAAGTGAGAGGAAATATCTCAAATTTAAGGAAAATTCCCATCTTGGACAGTTGTCACCAGTTTTTCCCTCACCTTTTGTTTTCATGATAACTCCAGAATATTAGGATTTTTTTCTTTTTTTCTGTCTTGGTGACAATGGTCACCAGGACAAATACAGGAGTATACAGTGGTACCTCGGTTCACAAACTTAATTGGTTCCACAATTCTGGATGCGAACCGAATTGGTTGTGAACTGAATCAAATTTTCCATTAGGGTTCAATGTAATTCAGGTTAATCCGTTCTAAACCCCTACGAACGTGGTCGTGAACCGACTTTTGGTTGTGAACCGAATCACATTTTCCCATAGGGTTCAATGTAAATCAGGTTAATCTGTTCTAAACCCCTACGAACGTGGTCGTGAACCGATTTTTGGTTGTGAACCGAATCACATTTTCCCATAGGGTTCAATGTAAATCAGGTTAATCCGTTCTGAACCATATGAAAAAAAAAATGTAACCACAAGTTTCTTTTTACCACCATTCTTGCTCTGCACATTCTTTTCACCTTCATTAATGCTCTGCACATTCTTGTCACCTTCATTATTGTGCTGCACTTTCTTTTTACTGCCATTCTTGTTCTGCACATCCTTGTCACCTTCATTACCGCTCTGCACATTCTTGTCACCTTCATTAATGCTCTGCGCTTTCGTTTTCCCACCATGCTTGCTCTGCACTTTCTTGGGAGCCATGCTCGATTGAACAGTAATACTGTACAGTACTGTGCTACAAAGCACACAAAAAAGCTTCACAGTAAGTGTCCACAGCCCTGTCTGCGACCGCAATCTCAAGTAAAGGATGCCAGGACCATGTGTCAGAGCGGGGAAGATGGCCACGGTCGTGTTCGTCACCCGAGGCAGAGTTCGTGAACGGAGGCAAAATTTTGACGGACTTCCTGGTCGCGAACCGAATTGTTTGTGAACAGAGGCATTTGTGAACCGACGTACCACTGTAGATCTTCCAGTGGGAATATTTGTTGCAGTGACAACTGTCTAAGTGTTTGTGTAGATGTGCAGATGCAGCTTGCTGTAGTTAGTCTTTATTTGGGATGCTTCTGAGACCATATAGAATCAATTTACAGGGTAACCATACTGTAGCTCTATAACTGCAATATGGTGAGTAAGCGTTGTCATCCAAGGACAGCAATTGTGTTACTTGCAATATCACTCATAAAAAAAAAAGACTGGAATATGAAAACTAGTGCAGCCACCATACCTAAGGACTGGTAAACTGAAATATATTCCATTTTTGTTCTTGGGTTTAGATATACTTAAATCTAAGGAATGGTTAGTTAATCCTTTTCCTAAAATGACATGAAATGCAGATAAATATGAGTTCTGCCTTTACTGAGCTCAGTCTAGTAATGCTAGTTACCTTAAATGAGAGAGGTGTCTTCAATCAAAACCTGAGTAGAAGTCACCAGCACTCGATAATGCGTGCAAGAAGTATAAGCACTGTTTATTAAATTGTCACAT